GATGTGGTATCCGGAACCAGAATCTGGGGAAGGGAGTGAGATGAGACACGGCCTGGGGATGGGATGGTAGATGGGGAGATGGGGATGGGTGGAGTTTCTCCGTCCTATCCCGCCTGGAAGTTTTGGGGACGGGTTGAGCACGCGCACTGTTCGTTGTAAATCTTGTCCATTTCCGATGGTTTTTTTCACCTTTGTTCGTCCTCGTTACCGTTCTCGTTCTCGTTCTCGGTCCGTGGATGGATGGATGGATGGATGGTGGAGGGAGCGGGATGGGGGAGGTGTACTGTCAACTATAGGCGTAGACCGGGGGTGAGTGAATGGAAGGGAAGGGAAGGGAAAATGATAATATGGTAGCTGTTAATTCTCCGCGGAGTCATGCCGTGGCTCATCTTTTTCCCGTACCTTGCGAGCGAGCGGGCGAGGTCATCGCATGCGATTGCGTGGCTCATCTTATTCCCGCTTTACCTTGCCCTTTACCAAACTTCAGCAGTTTACTTACAGGGCGAGAGAGAGCCGTTAGCTCCCCACCGGAAGAAATCCGGTGTGCTCGGTCCCTCACTTCCCCACGACGTCCGCCTTTCCCCTCGGCATAGCTTCGGGCTATGCGGTACCGAGAGAGGGAGAGACCACGATGCCTTCCCTGGCTTTGTCCTCGTACCGGGCGCGCACCGGCGAATTGCCCTTTGTGGGGGGTCGGGATTTCTCGGCGTTGTTTGGGTCTGTGGCGCTTGGGGACGTTGTGGCGTTTGTTCGGGGATTCATGTGCGAGTGCTGCTTATGGGTGAGGGGTTTAACATCTCTCCTCCGTAAATACAGGTAAGCTACTTACTGTAAGCAGTAATTGGGGAAAATACCATTGGACCACACGAATTGGAGAAAAGGTGGTGAGGGGAAAGCAGGAAGCAAGGAAGGAAGGAAAGGATGGGGCAAAAACACGTGCCTTCCCACCGGGAAGTGGGTGGCCCTCCTTTCTTTTGTTTTCCCCATAATCGGCGGTACTGCGGTACCCGCCCTCCAGTCCCTCAGCGCGCACGCAGTCAGCACTCATCCGGTCCTTTTTCAGCGACCGAGGTGGCTGCGCGCCGCGCTGTGGCGGTGAGCGCGCGGTGTGTCCTCGGCGCTTGGGAGGGGAAGGACCGAGTTGGAGCCGCGGTCTTTGAGGGAGGGCGTGCGTGGCGTTGAGGGGTTGAGATCCAGCAGGCAGGGCCGTTGAGGAAGACCACGCGACGGATTGTTTCCGGGGTGAGCTTCCTGGACTGGTTGTGTACTGTACTGTACTGCTGTACTGGTGGGTGTGGTGGGATCTGGGGTGCAGCGGCGGGTAGGTGGAGGGTGGCAGTGGCAATGGTGGACGGTTGCGGATTGTTTCAGGAGTGTGATGCGCGAAGGGTCCTGGGGCGTTGGTGGCCGCGACGCTTCTGGGGGGGTCACATGTGAGATTGAGGGATTGGGGGACGTCATGGGGAGTGTGTTTGTGTGGGGTTAGCCGCGATGTGTGGTTGTATGTGGGGTTGGGAGGAGGATGTGGGGTTGGGAATGAAAGAAAGGGTTCAATGATGTTTTCGGGGGGGCGGGTTGATGTCATGGTGCTTTTGGGATGGTTTCGGTCGGCCGCGTGACTGCGTGTTGAGGGTTTGTTGGTTTCGGGTGCATAGGGGATTTGGGGATTTGAGGAGTGTTTGCAGATTCCTGATGGGGAGTGAGGATGCTATGGGAGTTCAATGCCGAGAAGCTTGTGTTGGCGGCTTTAAGGTTGTCACAAGATGATGGAATTTTTTTGGACTTACTCCTCCTTCCTATTCCGATGTGATCAGGGATAACGGTGGTATTTAGGGATGTAGACGCTAAAGGATACAAATTCCCTTACTTTTCGTCCCGCTCCCGCCCGAGTTGTGCCAACCGTCGCCGGAAGAGGTAACTCAACTCGCACACCGCTCTCACAATGCGCGAATGGGATATATCTTCAAGGCTGTTGGCTATAGAAAAGACGGTGCAGCTAGGATTGCCTAGTGACGATAATGCAATCTGGTCGATCTTCTTTGTGAGGAAGTTGAATTGTTGCTTATTCTTTGATGCGCATAGGGCGAGTAAGCGTGCATTGTGGACCATTCCCTATGGGCCGTCTATCACGGATTTCAGCTTCCGATGGTGCCACTATTGAGGTGCCACTATTGAGAACGACCATTCCTCCGGCCACTATCACGGGCTTATAGGGACGTTCCACAACCTCGGGTTAGTAATTATACGGCCATATGACGACGAGGTCCCTGGCGTGTAGTCGATCGGAGCCAGGCACAAAAGCTCGTAGTAGGGCGACTGGCGGATAGACGGACTGGTGGGGGTCGAGTTTCACATATATACCTCCCACAATGCTACGCTCGAGGATACTGTGCTTCGTCGATGCTAATTGAATGGCGGTGCGTAGTTCTCCGTAAGGATCTGAGATCTGCAAGCATACTTCTTACATACGCCTCGGCTGGGGACCAAGAAATTCATGCCTTGAGTTTGGCTTGTGTAGAACGTGATAACGATCCTTGAGCTCCGCTGAGACGACTCTTTCAAAAATAATGGTCAATTGTAATATGCTGGCTGTTATATCACAATCTCCACAGCTCAGGTCTACAGCTGTCCCTGTGCAAACAAACTTCTCAGCCTTAACTCCCACCTGCATCCAAGAAACACCACAAGCATCTCGACATTCAGGCCCTTGCATTACGTATCTCACCATGTCGCAGGCTCGCTGTCATCCCTAACCCTCATCTCATCGCAGGAGCAGTGCGAACCATCCAACGAACCGTGCACGCGCATACCCCCAGGGACGTATGTCGCACCGAACATGGCAGAAAAAGAGGGGATCCCAGCCTTAGCGCCAATTGACCAATCAGACACCGACGCTCAGACCATCAATATCGGTGGGTGCATCGATCGGAAACTCAATCTGAGATGCTTGGCGCGATGTTGGGACCGATGGGCTAATTGTGGAGTGGGTTATTATATAGGCTGAATGGGAGGAGATATCTGGTGGTTTTGGAGGTGGAGGACGGTGGTTTCTGCAGTGATGGGAGGAGGGAGAGTGGCATTGGGGAGGAGTTATGGGTGGTGGGTTTAATTCTATCGAACTGCTATGAGCACTTCCTCCTGTGGACATAATTCCAGAGAGTTATTTGCAATATGGCATCTGGAATTGTTTTCAGGGCAAATATTGACCTATAGATTATACAGGCTCACAAGCCGCAGACGCGTAACACGCCTCTTGAATGTGATAGCTTATATATACTGCCTCTCTGAAAGACCATGTGGCCTTTCAGTAAACATTACTCGGTTTATGGAAACTATACCCGGGAGTATCAAAATACCTCGATCAATTGGCCAACGTTAATATCATGGTTAATATCATGGTTAATATCATACATTTACCGTTAAATAAACTCGAAGTTTCCACGCTCAAAACCAATACTCTTGGCGAAGTTGTTGGACTGACTTGGAAAATAGGAATGACGTTGGAAGGTCAGGCCATCTGGCAAGTCTAGACCTGGCCACAGCTGTGCAAGGATGAGGCGCAAGACACGCATCCAAATGCTATGCAGATGAGATCGTTTGTTTACATCCAGACTTTGTCTCAGCGTCAACATCGAGGACGCGTCTCCAACGCGAATCCAAAGGAGTCATGTGCATAACGGCATCCCCCAACCTCCCCTAGAAACCAACGCAACATGCCAGCTTGCGGGACGGCTGCACAGCGTTCCTGCGTACACCACTGAACCAACATCACCCCACGTGCGATCGTCTCGTGCCTCATCGATATGCGTGTCTCTCCCCTTACGGGAGCCTCCGTTGCGGGGGAGACATCCATGTATCACATCACAACTATTAACTTTCCCGCCAACGAGATCTGATATGCGCTTCGGCCCATGGGATGAATCTGGACAGTTGATCCAACGCGCCTCAGACTTGCGACGCATCGCGCGCGTCTGGGTCCTTTGTTATTGTCTGACATTCCACCACGTCATGGGACGACGTGGCGGCGCGAGACATGGGTGATAGCCGCGGTGTCTCGGAGGCGGGAAGCGACGAAGGTGGGCCTGGGCGTTGGAGGATCAGCTGATGGCGGGGTAGGGAACAGACAGGTCGCTGGGGCGATGGGTGACAGCTCGGTGCGGTGGCGACTTTTTCGTCTTGTCTCAATGTGTCTCGGACACGACCTTCGCCGTCCCTGCACGGCGGATGTGTCTTAGCCCCGGACTTGGGCCCATCCGGGGGAGTTGGAGCTCTCTCCCGATTCGCCCTGTTTTTGATAATATGGGAGACTTCTCTGAGTGAGGAGTACGGCGCTGGCGCTGACTGACTCGTCTGACACCATTATTATGCGCCTTTCAAAACTTATTGATATCCAAGCGCGCCGTGGTAGGGATGTATCATTGATGGGATATGTGACCGGTAAGCCCACCAACAGAATCTTTTTGAATTGTAATCAATCCGGCCTCTCTATCATTTCAATTGCCGTAGAAGAGCGACTGACTCGGGATTTGAGCTCATAGCGTGCTGGTATGTGTGGCGATGACGACAAAGGCGGGTGTGTGTTGACAGATGCTTTCGTCGCTCATAAGGTTAAGCTTTGAGTACTTTGCTGTACCTCGCTGGTACTCGAGACAGAAACGGGGAATAGATGTGACACACGGTTGGGATTTCTTGATCTCTTGATCTCCTCCCTTTTCTACCTGAGTCAATCTTGAACCTGGGGGAACTATCGTCCAACCATAGGATTGGGTATTTGCTTCTCGCCACGGACATACGGAGACATCTCCGGTCCTAGGTGACCCCGCGGCGGGGAGGGGGAGCGAGTGAAAACTTGATGAGGTCATCCGGCGGTGTGGCTTTATGCGTTTATGCGTGTTATCTGGGGGACGATATAGGGTGGCAAAGGGGATCTGCCGATAATTGTTTTACCTGTCCGCATTTAATAGTTAATTTAATTGATTAAGATTATCGTTAAGTTAATTAATTAATTAATTCATAAATAGCTGAATATTTTTAATTAGTATCTGTCTGGTTTATTTTTGTTTGTGTGCATTTTCTCTTAGCAGTAGTCTTGCGCGTGGCAATCGCAGAGGCGCAGTTTAGAAAGTTGCATATCGCCCAAGTATCTATTTTATCGCTGGCTGGTGACTCAGCCGCGGGGCAGCAATAACCATGAGTCAACACTGCGCATACTATCAATGATGGCTCATAATGGATCACAAGGAAAACGAGTGCGAGTATTATCTATTTTTCGCCGCTTCAGTTAATTAATAATAAGCTGTCGATCGAAGCTGAACGTATGATATAAACAAAGAACTCGTCAGCAACGGGAATCAGCGAAGCACAGCTCAGCTCGTATCTGCCGTTACCAGGAGTTCCCGCAAACCATCAACTCCGGCAAACAGGGAAACGACAACACCAAAATCAAGTGTCACTTCCCAGCAACAGCCTAGACTCTCACCGGCGCTTCCGGTACTGGGACTTAACTTTGTGTGTGTTCATATTGGCTGCACTGCACAACCCCTCACCCCCGTCACCACTCACCACCACTCGCCTTACGAAACGAAACCTAACGCGACACACACACCACCCCCCCAACCCCCCACAACAATGGCCATAGTCACTTCACCCACTTCACCACCCACGCCCAGCCCTACCGCGTCCGCAAGCGCCCTCACTTCTTCAGGTCAGCAGCTCCGCTCCCATTTTCCCTCCCCCAATCCACGCTTGGCGTTGATCCTCACCGCCTCGAGGACAAAGGTGACTCGCATTGACGCACCGCGCGCGGTGCATAGTTGATCAGAGAAGTGTGTGGTGGTCACTTGACCTCGCTGATGCGTTGGCAGATGTGAGTATGGCTGCTGGTGGCATCGTGGCCGGGGCCCAGGGTGCGTTTCCGGCTGGCTTGGATAGGAAACGTGGGAAGGCGTGTAGGTTCTATGGGACCGTTGCGGGTACGTATTACTCTTTTTTACTTTGGGTGTGGCTTAGTGTGCTTGATTGCTTTTTGTTGGGGGGGTGGTTTTGATACCGATGTTATTGGTGGAAGGGGCCGCGTTGAGGGTTGCGTGATAAGGATCGATTGTTGGGATGGATCGGAGGGACGAGGCTGCGGGCCGTCGTCTGATGGCGATTGCGATCGGGGTTGTTCGCATGATATCGATTTCTGTGCTGTGCAGCTCGGATTGCTCGCATGAGGTTGTGCACCTTAGCTGCAGTGCAGCGCAGATGAGTTTCGTACATCGCTTTCTCCGAGGACGATCGATTCATGGGATGAAACGATACTTGCAATATACTTGTCACGTTATATTTACATGTAGCCATTATCACAACCCAGAGATAGTGGAGAGTCGGAGACGGATTATTATATCACAAGCTAATACTCAAAATAGGATGCCGAGCAGGTCAATCCTGCCCATTCTCACATGATGAATCTCAGCGGGCATCCCGAAAGACCCCAGCTGCTCGGCCTGACTCCGTGGCCAGCGACAGTTCTTCTAACCCCCAGTCCAATATGCCCCTTACCACTTCGCGAGCCCAGGCGATAACGAAGCCGGTCCCCTCGTCTCGCGTTGTGACCAAGCCAATCCCTCAGGCACAGGCTGAAGACCCGAGAGAGTTCCAGATCGGCCAGATCAGGCGGCGTTTTAAACCCCGGGAGCGCAAATCTGAAGATGGTGGTACCATTCTCGAGTTTGATTTGAAGCCATCGGATCCGGATTTCCCGTTTGAGATGACCGCGCTGGCGTGCTTACTTGTGGTGCCACAAGGCTATCCGGAAGAGTCACCAAGCCTCAGGATTAGGAATAGTGACATTCCTAGGGGGTTTACTATCAATGTGGAAAGGGGGTTTGATGGGTTAGTGGAGGCTAGAACGAAAAGTATGACGTTGCTAGCATTGATGGGAGCGCTGGATAAGAACCTCGAGGCCTTCTTGAGTGAGAAGAAGGCCGAGACGATAAAGCTAGTGGCCAATGCTGATAAACGGCATCTGGAAAACCTACCCGTGAGGGCGGTAAATCACGAAGCTGTGTCATCTACCTCCAAGGGGAAAGCTGTCCAAACACCGAAACCGGTGCAAGCTCCCCGTCCCGCACCAGTGTATTATTCCAAGGTGCAAAAGGAGGAAGCTCAAGCCAAGAGAAACTCGGAGACGAGACAGCTAGAGGCAAGACTGGGACGATTGCCCCTTTACAAGAGGTCAGGAGATGGTATTGCCTATACTCTGCCGATTGAGCCTCGGAAACGAGGCGAACTCCCAGTGCCTCTTCGGTCTATCAAGACAATAGTCTTGTTCGTGCCGCTTCTGTATCCATTGCAGAATTGTCGTATTATGTTGGAAGGCGTGAAGTCTGAAGATGCAAAAGCGACAGAGGCAGCGTTTGAGGAGCGTGCGAAGAGAGAGAAGGAAACAACACTGATGGGCCATGTTAATTTCATGGCTCAGAATATGCATGTTCTGGCTAAGACGCCACTGAAAGTTCCAGTTGCCGACAAACCTGTAGTTCAGGAGCCAGAGCCTGTTGAGGCAGTTGAAGCCGAGGAAGCACCAGTTGTTGCTGGTGTGGTGGACGAGGAGAGGAGCCATATTTTCCACATTCCGAGACCTCCCGAGTGGGCGATAGAAGGTGAGGCGGAAAGTGAAGAAAGTGATGGCTCCGACTACTCATACGATTCCGAGGACTTCGAAGGTGGTCCTACGGACGAAGAGGGCGAAGGAGAACAAGAAACCCTAGAACCTCTTGACACGACGGAACGAGGGACAGCGTTATCATTTCCTTTCCTTGAGATTTATGGCATCGAGCTTCTCGAAACAACGGTCTTAAATCTAACAATCAAGTGTGAGCGATGCAGAGACACTACCGATATCACAGGCCTTCGGAACGGCGTCAAGAAGACCGAAAGTTGCAGGAAGTGTGCCACGGTTCTAGGCGTCACGTTCCGCCGCGACTTAATCCACACGAATGCGATCCGAGCCGGATTCCTGGACCTCGAAGGCTGTGTGCCCGTCGACATGCTCCCAAGTACCTTCTTGCCGACATGTTCAACGTGCTCTGAACCATTCCCTGCACCTGGAATAGTGGCACATGCAGCCAATACAATCACTATCAACTGTCGACACTGCCATGCCTCCATGACACTCAAGCTCACCGCACCGAAGTTCCTGCGCATCACCTCTGCCGCCATGCCAGCGTCTGGACCACGGCGGAAGCGGGACATGCTCCACCTCCACCCAGGCGAAGCACTCCCACTGAATGGCCGCTGCACGCACTACGCGAAATCTTACCGTTGGTTCAGGTTTAGCTGCTGCAACAAGGTCTACGCCTGCGACAGATGCCATGATGAGAAGGAGGAGCATCCGAATGAGCGGGCCGAGAGGATGGTGTGTGGGTGGTGTAGTCGCGAGCAGGCCTTCCGGAAGGAAGACTGCAGGTTTTGCGGGAGAGGACTGGTGAGAAAGAGGGGAGGAGGGTTTTGGGAAGGAGGAAAGGGGACGAGAGATAAAGCCGCGATGAGCCGCAAGGATCCGAGGAAGTATAAGAGGAGAGGAGGGGGAGCGCTTGCGAAGAAGAAGGATTAGGCTGGGCTTTACGGCATGTAAATGTTGGATACGGATGCTGCTACCGTGTAGGATAAGAAATTACCATAATTCATAGTTAAAAGCTAGAATCTAACGAATACCGTAAATTTTGTTCCCAATTGTGATTTATACTGTAAACTAAGCTACCCCTATGCTCTCCCGTCCCGTATCTTGGCGCGGCGAGGCTATATTTTAAGGCATCAACTAGTTGTTGCCTGATATGAAATTTTGGCGAGACTTCAAGTGGGCGCGTTTATCTGGATAGGGCCGCGTCGAAGCAGCATATAAGGTGTTTTACCACACCGATACATATTGTACGCCTTTAGAAGCTCTTATCGAATTACTCTACAGCTAGTTGATTTGCAGGAGCAGCTCCTGCGACCTTCAAGATGGCGATGAGTATGTCCCCCCCCCACCCCTGAAGATAGCTTGTGGTGCGGATTGCTAATGTGGTGCTTCCAGACATCGATATGTCCCAGGGTACGAAACTTCCGATAGAAACGGCATTCGATTATACTGACGGTGTGGTATTATAGCTCAGGTCGTGAAAGACGAGCAAGGCCGACCTTTTATTGTCGTTAGAGAGTACGTCCTCCCTGCGGCTCCAGACCCCTTCCATCAGGAGTCAAAGCTTACCCATACCTCAGCCAAGGAAAGAAGAAGAGACAACATGGCAACGAAGCTGTCAAGTCCCATATCCTTGCCGCCCGCACAGTCGCCAACATCGTCAAGACCTCATTAGGACCCCGCGGACTCGACAAGATCCTCATTTCCCCAGACGGAGACATCACAGTAACCAACGATGGTGCCACCATCCTCGGCCAAATGGAGATCCAAAACCACGTCGCAAAACTCCTCGTCGAACTGTCGAAATCACAAGACGATGAGATAGGTGATGGAACAACGGGTGTTGTTGTTCTGGCTGGTGCTTTGTTGGAGCAGGCGGCTGAGCTGATTGATAAGGGAATCCACCCTATCCGGATAGCAGACGGCTACGACCAGGCGTGTGATATTGCTGTTGCAGAGCTGGACAGGATCGCAGACACAATTGAGTTTTCGCCAGATCACAAGGAGAACCTGTTCAAGGTGGCACGGACGAGCTTAGGAAGCAAGATTGTCTCGAAGGCACACGACCAGTTCGCCCAGATCGCAGTTGACGCCATTCTCTCCGTCGCCGACCTGGAGCGCAAGGACGTCGACTTCGAGTTGATCAAGGTGGACGGCAAGGTTGGAGGTTCTCTCGAGGACTCTCTGTTGGTCAAGGGTGTTATTGTGGACAAGGACTTCTCGCACCCGCAGATGCCGTCCGAGGTTCGCGATGCCAAGATTGCGATCCTGACGTGCGCGTTCGAGCCCCCGAAGCCGAAGACGAAGCACAAGTTGGACATCACGTCGGTGGAGGAGTTCAAGAAGCTCCAGACCTACGAGAAAGACAAGTTCACGGACATGATCAAGCAGATCAAGGATACCGGAGCTAACCTGGTTATCTGCCAGTGGGGTTTCGATGACGAGGCGAACCACTTGCTGTTACAGAACGACCTGCCAGCCGTAAGATGGGTTGGTGGCCCGGAGATGGAGCTTATCGCCATCGCGACAAACGGCCGCATCGTGCCACGCTTCGAGGACCTCTCCGAGGCGAAGCTGGGTAAGGCTGGCGTTGTCAGGGAGATGAGCTTCGGAACCACGAGGGAGAAGATGCTCGTGATCGAGGAGTGCGCCAACACCCGCGCTGTGACCGTCTTCGTCCGCGGTAGCAACAAGATGGTGCGTCCCCCTGTACCCCTGCATATTGAACCCCCAAACACGTGACTAACAACCAACGACAGATCATCGATGAGGCCAAGCGCTCCCTCCACGACGCCCTCTGCGTCGTACGCAACCTTGTACGCGACAACCGCGTCGTGTACGGTGGTGGTGCCGCCGAGATCGCGTGTTCGATTGCCGTCGAGGACGCCGCTGTGTCGTCGCCTGGCCTGGAGCAGTACGCCATGCGCGCCTTCGCCGACGCGCTGGACCAGATCCCAATGACTCTCGCCGAGAACTCTGGCTTATCGCCTATTGCCGCGCTGGCGAGCATCAAGAGCCGACAGGTGACGGAGAAGAACTCGAGGCTGGGTGTCGACTGCATGCAGACGGGGAGCAACGATATGAGGGATGCGTTTGTGATCGATCCGCTCATTGGGAAGAGGCAGCAGCTTATGTTGGCGACGCAGCTGTGCAGGATGGTGTTGAAGATCAATAATGTGATTATTGCGGGGACCGGGGAGGACGATTACTAGGTGGGTTCATCACGGGGTGGCATGGGGGCATGTACAGTATCATAATTGGGATGGCTGTGTATGATGGATAGATAGTGTCTATCTATAGATGAAAAGCTACCAAAATGGGACCACGAATTAGAGGAGGTTTACGTGTTCCTTGTGATCAAGCATGTCTTCCTATTTTCTGCAGTTCGAGGTTGATTTTGTTGTGATTGAATACCCCTAAGTTATTTATGCGTCTCATGTTTCCAAAGTTCTCTCACTGGCCTGGTTTTATCCCTTGAGTATATCGAAGGTTTGTGAGTTTCTTTTGTCTAAAGTGTATCTCGATAGCTGCACCAAGCTGGTGCAAGGCAAAGAAAGGTTTCGATCAGCAGTGTAGCTCATTGACGAGACTGTTGCATTACACAATTACTTGTGATTTCAGGATAATCAATTTGTTATCCCAGTGGGAGCATGGCAAGATCGAGAATAAAGTAGGGGAGTGCTAACCCAAAGGTGATGGGCTGAACAGCTCTGTTCTGTGAAGTGACTATTTTTGGCTTAGAGCCGCTAGACGCTCCTGCCTCCTTACTCTTTACTCCCAGCTGCCTCCTTCATCCGCTTCTACACAGCCGTTTGAGTTCAGTTCGCTCATGAAGCGTTAACCTGTAACCCGGCTGCCTACACGCGAATAAATTTCACCCTCACGTTCACTTTCACTCCCACACACTTCCTCCTTGCCTTCTTCAACCTCTTTCCAACCTCTTTCTGAACAATCTTCTTTAACCTTTTTGATCTTACACTTCTACAATAAACCTTTTCAATCACTGAATCCACAAATTAACCTACTCCGACAAACTGGATCAACGTCGTCGCTTTCAGTTTCTGATCGCACAACCCTTGAGCTTGGTTCTCAACTCGTCTTCTCAACTCTTTCGGACATCACCAAGTGCGTTCTGAAGCTTTTATTCAATCGAAACCGTTAAACTGTACCAATAACTGACATAGCCAGCTAGATTTGGTTTCCGACTCAAGTTCACTTTTCAACTCCGATTTCAAATTCACTTCCCGAAAACACCAACCAACGCCCATCTCAAATACCTCGCCTTCTCTTGCGTGTTATCCAAGACTTTCTACCAAGATACCCATCTATTCTCTCCTTGAGTTTGATTTCATCTAGTGTTATTTTCCTCTGGTAATGATTCACACCTGCATCTTCCTGTAAGTCCCAAAGACCTTTCACTCTCTTTTGATAAGTCACTAATGAACAACCAACACCAGTCTTTGATCGTGAGCTATATCCTTCTGAGCCACGATGTTCTCTACTCACACAGATAGATCCAGAATGGGTCGTCAATCTGGCAGAGCCTCGTCTATGGCTCGAAATGCTGGACCACCCCGACAGCTCCGCTCGACTTCGCAGACAAAGCCGAAGTCTGGGCAACAGATATGCAAAAATTATATACTGGGCCGTCCATGCCACAAAAGCCCTAACTGCAGATACTTCCATGACGAGGAAGCTCGTATCAATTGGGGGAACCTGAAGCAAGACGAGAAGAAAGTTGGTAGCCAAGCACACAAGGCGTTGATGATGTCCGACACAGCAAAGCCAACACCATCCAGCCTTACTGTTCCTTCCAAAGCTGGAACTATCTCCCCAAAGCAAATTCTCACGAAGTCAACAATATCCCAAACTGCCTCAACTTCCGATACCTCGCCAAGCATGCTGTCCACTGCCACTACCCCCCTCACCGACTACGTGCATCCGCATTTGCGCAAGAGCTCAAACAGCAGTTCAAACGCGAGTCAACCGTCCAGCATCGATTCTGCTGCGGGAAAGCTGAGCTTTAATGAATGGAACCAGCACCGTGCAGTTCTTGCTGCGTCTTTTACCCCACGACTCGCCGGGAGCACCGCCATGGTTGGCCAAGACCAGCTGGACGGCGTTCTCAAATACAAAACCGACATGCTCACTTCCGGGATTGTTCCACTTCGCGAGCAACATGTCAAATTGCTCGCCGCAGCCAAAGAAAATGCGCAGGCCTTTATCAGCAGATTTCCTGTCGATGTTACAAATAATATTGACCGCGTTGCGGGCGGCATTGCAGCCACTGCTGGATTTTTACCTTTCGACGCTGGTGCGGGCGTGAAGCCTGAGAGCATTACCGATGAGATGTGGGCGTTTATGGGAGAGAGAGACGTCAAGAACATGTCCATTTCAACCAACTCTAGCAAAAGATCTAGAGCTTCACGGAAGTCCATCAACATCACAGCAAAAGTCATGGGCTTTATCCATCGCCGTGTTAATACGGCTGACACCCCTACACCACTCGGTGTCGGTCATCCGGCATACGACAGCGGTTATGAGAAGCCACGGGTTTGCCTGCCAAACTTTGGAAATCGTCAGGCTAGCCCAAATAAGCCTCGATCTCCCTTGGACCAAGTTCAACCTGCTCTAGGCCTTGGTATAATTCACGAAGCTCCCCTGAGCAGCCTTCCCAATGCTCCCAGAAAAGATCCGGTTGTCTTCAAATATCAAAGCCCACAGGCGGCCACCGTTCGTGACAATTCAGCACACATAAATGCTTGGCTGAATGCAGCCAAATTCATCGCCGCTGACGACATGGCCCTCGAGGAGGAAAATATCATCAGAGCAAAAGAAGCATCTTCTCAAAGCAGAGTTGAAATTGTCTCCAAGTTTGTGCCTCGACAAGCCACAGTCACAAACAGTTCATACGGAGAAGCAGTTTCAGGCGCCAGACTCTTGAGCCGCCCAGCCTTCCCAATTGCATCGGATGGGGTGGTAGTGAGCAAGCCATTGAATGAGCTGATTGAAGATGCTCATACAACGACTGTTGCGAAGACAAGTATCAACTCGGAAAATTATTCGAATGACGACGTCGAGAGCAATCCAGATGATATCCAAAGTAACTTTTGTCACCAGGTTCCAAATGAGTCTGTTAACTTTGGACGGACAGCAATGGCTAAAGCTGGCTCCATGAAAGCCGAGTTATGCATAAACTACATCCGCGGATTTCCATGTTACTATGGCAATGAATGCGACAGATACCATGATGAGGAGATTCGCAATGCTGCGATGATGAATCCGTGCATGGAGTATAACAGTGGCCAGCTCTGCCACAATCGGAAATTTTGCACGCTCTATCATGACGTGGCCACTCACAATAAGAATAGAAAGGAGATGACCCCAGCCCAAAAGACTGCCCCGGGGATTTCTGGCTCGTCTATCGCCCCTATGAACGCACCGAGATGCCTAGAGTTTGCTCTAGGCCACGAATGTCCTCGGATGCCTACATGCACACTATACCACGATACAGTTTTCCGCAACGCTACCAGATTCGCAAACGACATTTGCTTCAACTTTCTTCTGGGGTTGCCTTGCCACGCTGAGATGTGCAAATATCGACACGATATTGGCCTCCGAGACACACTGAACGGGGTTCGCTCATACCGTTCGATGCCATTCATGGACGGTGCTTGCTCGAATAAGACCGAGGCTTCCAATAGTGAAAACCATAGACATATACAGGAACGTCCCAACGTGCTGGCTCCAATCACCGCCACAATTCCCATTGCCATTAGCACCGCTGCACCGCTGTGCTTTAACTATCTATTTGGCATGCGCTGCAGTGCTGGAACCAATAATTGCAGATTCAAGCACGAAGAGGGTCTTCGTGCGCAGGTGATGAAGAACACCTGCAGAAAATTTGCCGTGGGGTACACTTGCATGGCAGGTAGAGAGTGTAGATTCTATCATGATGTTAAGTTTCGCGATACGTTGAGAGAGTATAAGCTTCGCCAAGTTTCCGCACAGGAAATCTCCAAGGTCGATGCTAAGGGTCTCCCTCATGGAACCCAGAAATGTACTCAGGAAACCAAAAAACCAAGCAACTTGGCTGAGAAGAAGGTTGTGGCCAGAACTGCATCCATTGAACCAACCTCACCAGCAAAATCCGAAGGCGCAACTGCTTGGGGAGATTTTGCGGCGCATATTGCAACCGGGGATGCAGAAGCAGCCACACGCGCACGTACGAACAGTTCAGGAGGATCTCAGACTAGCCTTATTACGGTTTTCAGAGACAGGGCTGATAAAGCTGTTAATAGCACAGCGCCAAAGGACAAAAAACCCGGTAACACATCCATGGTACCAGGAAAGAAATCTGGGTCCAAATCACGAGTAGTTTCAATCACCAGCCGGGATTCCTCAAATACGAAGCCCATTGCAGCAAGGGAGGTGATTGAATCAGGTAGTAGCAATATTTCGCAGCCCTTTGTCAACAACACTCCGTGCAATTCGAAGCTCACGAGATACTGCCCCCGATTCCACGGCGGGAGATACCACTGTGAGAATGAGGATAAGTGCGGCTTTGTCCACGATCCGAAGTTGCAACAAATCTACAAATCTAAGGACCCCAGATTTCAAAACACGAAGCCACCAAGACATGGTGCCAAGACCAGCCAGTGGGCAAAGAACTCATATGACTGCGGCGCTTGGTAAGGGCATTTCGACTTGTCAGATATACTATTTGGTGTTTGGGTGTGTGGACTAATATCGTATCGGTAGGAGCTTAACGATAGTTCCAATGGCACCTCTAGCCAAGACCAAGGGGAAATTTGTTCGGTTTCCTCTTCTACCCGCAGAAATTCGTTTGAAGATATGGGGCTTTTGTCTCGCCCTTCCATATTCTCCGATTGTACACCAGCACTTCAAGAATGTGCGCAGTACAAAGCCCACAGCAAGATATGTCTGCTTCACTCGACATCCTCCTCTCCTCGACACCTGTACTGAATCACGAGTTGAGGCATTGAAATACTTTTCACTCGCTCTTGGGACTGTTACATCTCCACCGCGAACTTATATCAATTACGAGGCATCATCTGTTTACCTCTGCACTCGCCGCTCGGGCTATTTTATCCCTATGATGCAGTCACTTCTTCCTGTCGATCTCGCCAACATTCAGGGCTTGACTCTAAAACTCCGAGATTGGCTCATCAACGACGACTGCGTTTTCCGAGACGCTATCTGGAAATTTACGAATTTGAAGAGGTTGACGATGCTCATCAGCACCAGCGATGAGGATGAAGAGTTTCGCACTCCTGTAGCTAAAGATGTTCTCATGTCTACTTTGGCATGGCAAGCTGATGAGTTGAACCCTGGGTTTAGGATGCCACTTATCCATATTATGGTTCTGGATGGTCTGGAGATCGACTCAGATCCTGAAGAGTACGCTCCGCCAGCTACCAGAGGCGAACGAATTGCAGACCACTTTCATGAGCTTCAGATCCAGGCGCTATTCTCCAGCGCGGTCTAATGGCCAAAAGGATGACGTTGATGTTATATGCAATGCTACTTTTGAGAATTGTTTTATACTTGGTTTCTTTTTTTCTTTCGCGGATAAGAGGTGTGCTGAAGGGATTGGAAGATTTGCACATCTGGATACTATGGAACTTTGTGGGAGAGTTTATGGGTGGTGCATTATGGATGGCTGGAGAAATTTCATTTCAAAAGTTTCTTGTTTTTGCGAAGAGCTGTTTACGAGAGACGGGGTCTGGATTCTGAGTGGTGAGACTTAGATTAGCCAATCCTGTGAATCTGACAAAACTTTCACAATCTCCGTCCATACTCAAGTCAGTCTGATTTACATTCCCAATACCTGAATAATATATAGTGATAAGTAAGATAGCCAACCCCTCTTCCATTTCCACTATTTCAAGCTCTTCCAATTATCCCAGCCATCTAGTTTTTACCTCAGGGGCCTTCGGCACCACCTTGCCCTTCTTGGGATGCCCTTGAGAACTGGGCCTCCTATCCTTCGGCGCACCTTCTGCTCTGTCTTCCGTCTGAGGGCATTGCTTCGACACTTCTAGATTCGCAGGCGAATAGTCAAGGGGACTATTACTGTGATCGGCCTATACAGTTCAGCATCATCCTTTCACACAAATAGAAGCACAGCTTCCCAGCACTTCAACGGCTCCATAGATCAAAGCTAACTCACCGCGTGCTCTCTCGCCGCCTCATCCCTCTCCAGCTCCGGCCGCGTAATCTTCGGATCGAAGCTCTCCTTATCCTTTGCCGTGCGCTGATCGTCGCTCGACAGCGTGTATTCGTGCGTCTCGCCGGTCGTATCGCGGGTTTCCTCCTTTTCCTCTGGACGTACGGCCTTGATGATGGGCTTGATGATGGGCTTGAGGATCGATCTGACGGATGGTGGAATGTGGACTGCACGCGTGTGCGAGGCAGGTAGGCGGGCGTAACGGGCTAGGTGGAGGGGGCGCATGGTGGGGTGGGGTGAGGTTTGGTGATGCGTGGGAAAGTGGATTGAAGCTATGGATAAGATCTCGAAGGTTGGATTCTATGTATTTCACGAGGAGAGAGGCAAATGAATGGAAGGAGTGAGGTTGCTATCTATTTGAAGCTGTCTGCTGGTATACTCTAGTTATGGTTAAAGATAACGTCATAACGCGGGCCACATTGTCGGTCGAGTGGTTGACCTAACTTGACCAATTATTATTGGCTATTGAAGCCACGAGACTACATCTTAGTGAGTGCGATAATTTATTTTGTTCTATATGGAATTTTAGTGAGGTTTCTGATGATATTTTGTTTGTTTATACTCATGGGGACGTCCCCACGCTTGGTGGGGTTACCCGGAGCACTGTCGTCCTGTAACCCCACCTTGTGTCTTGCCTTCAAGGTTGCCACTGGTGAGCACGACAAAATACGATACGAGTAGCTTACTACGCAACTTGAGTCATTTCCCTAATTTTTATTTTCTCAACGTACATATATCCCCTATACCCATACTCCCACTCAATTTAAATAATACCCTCAACTCAACTCTCCTGTTGCTAGTCTCGTCGAATTAAACGCCCCTCAAACGTTACCACTCCACCAGTAAGTTGCCCCTCCCGCAGTCCCCTCCAACCCCCGCTGATCCCCATAGTGCCTACCACCATCTACTTCGTGCGCCACGCGCAAGGGTTCCACAACCTCACAGCGGCAAACCACTCCATGCCCGACCCCCTCCTCACAAAACACGGAGAATCCCAATGCGCCGCCCTCGCCGCCTCCTTCCCCCACACCGAGCGCATCACACACCTCGTCGCCTCCCCGCTGCGCCGCACCATTCTCACAGCCCTCCTCTCCTTCCCCTCGCTCGTCGAGCCTCCCAAGTCTCTCAAAATCGTCGCCGTCCCCGAGCTCCAAGAAACGAGCGACGCACCCTGTGACACTGGCAGCGTGCCCGAGGCTCTCGAGCACGAGCAATGGGCTGGGAAAGTTGACCTCTCGCGCGTGAAAGAGGGGTGGAACGACAAGAGTGCCTCGAGTCCGTGGAGTCCTGCGCCGGAGAAGGTGGAGGCGCGGGCTGTTGTTTCGCGGCGCTTTTTGCAGGAGCTAGGCCAGGAGTATGAGGAGCGAACGGGGCAGGAGGCACATATTGCGGTTGTGACGCATGGGGGGGTTTTGCACTTTATTACAGAGGATTGGACGGGATTCAATAAGGTGAAGGGGACGGGGTGGGAGAATACCGAGTGGCGCTCTTATGTGTTTGGGGAGGGGGAGAAGCAAGAGAGTCTCGTGGAGACGGGGGAGAGCTCGAAGAGGCGGGCTGGGAGCAAGATTCCGTTGACGGCGGATGAGGAGAGGGAGTTGGCGAGTATTGGTGGGCTGAAAAATTGAGGTTTCTGGGGTATGATATTGGGAGTGTGATGATGGCAGTATAAGCGCTTTTGAGCCATCGTGTTTTCTGCGATTAATAGATAACACCATAGACAGATGCTGAGATAGAACAATAGAACAATGGTCAATCCATATTGTCGATAGTTTATATGTATTTATCTAAAAAAAATTTGGGCTATCTACTTGTCTGACACGGTGCAGGAATTATCGAGACCTAGGAGCAAATATGACTAACTGAGAAATATGACGGAGAGATTTTATTATTGACTGCACGGCGACGAGCAGAATCCCTTCTATGAGTCGCAAGGGCAGCAGTCGTGTGAGAAATGGAGCCGCAAAAGCAGAAGTGAGAAATGAAATAATCATGATCGGCGGAGACGATGAGGGTTAAGGAAGGTATTGAAGATTCCAACTAAACGTACGAAGGCACACAGTGGCGAGAGGGGACGACGGTGACAAAAACGGGCGGTGGTAAGAAGGGGGACAGTGAGAAATAAAAGGGTGGCAAGATATGCGCGAGGTGGTAAGAAGGGCAGTGGTCATCGCTGTTGCTCCGTGCTGCAAGACAAGGAATCGGGTTCATGGCCTCACACCGTGCTGCACGCACTGGTGGATTTCTTCATAGGAACTGTGCTGACACCATCCGGCTTATGCAGTGAGTGCATATAGTTGGACCATTCAGAGCGATGGTATGTGCGGCTTGGGAGAGAAGGCCCAAATATTGAAAATAACGACATAGCGACGACCAACCAGGTAGGTCTACAGCCTCCCAAGACTACCACCCGAGTGGATTTGTCTATATGGTAATATGGTAATATGTAATATGGTTGTATTAGGTATTTATACTGTACTGTACTATATAGAGCCAGCACTCCATCCTCCTATCGACTGATGAGATCTGACTGTTATCGCTCAATCAGCCCCATCCTCCTTGCGTCCTTATTTTATATCCCAGAAAAAGCCCATCATCGTCGCCCAAAGATGCGAAAAGTTAATAAAACACACACTGATATACAAAAACCCTAACTCGCTTGTTTTCAACCGGCCAAAATTAAGGCAACAATGCCAAGAAAAACTCCCGTCCTGGTATATATGTTCAAAAGCCCTTCGCCGGAAGTAACTCTTCCCTATCTTACTCCCACTTGTTGTAAAAGTGCTTCGAACCGACAGTTTGCAGCTGGCAGAGACGCCTCAGTATGGCGGGTACGTTCTTCCCCCAGCACGTCCGTTCTGAGCTGCAATCATGTTCCCCTGTCGCCTTCCCACACTTCCATTCGCGTTCTCGTGTCCAGCACCCCCATGAGAGCCTTGCTGCGTTTGCATGCCCCCATTATTCCCTTGTTGCATCTGCATCCCTCCATTACCGCCCTGCATCTGCATTCCGCCACCATTCCTCACCGCACCAGGGTTATGCGAGTACGCGCCCATTGGCGCCTCCGGAGCCCGTGACGGCCCCTGTGACAGCTGCTCTTGGATCTGCGCACCAGCGTAGTGCTCTTCATCCGCGTCAGCGTCAGCGTCCGCATCGCCATCAGCATCAACATCCATATCATCGCCCGCCCCATTTGGCTGCCCATTCTGCAGCTGGCCACTCAAACTGCGCTGCCCCTGCATCCCCCCGCCGCGACTGCTACGCACGACCTCGCGCCAGCGGCCTACGGCAGACTCAATGCGTTTCTGCAGGTTATCATCGGGGTCGCTGAGGCGCCATCCGACAGATCCGCCACGCAGTCCCATCTCAGCCAACTCAACGGCCGTGCGTTTGCCGATGTGCATCGTGCTCGGAGGCCGCATCTGGAACTCGCGAGGCTGCTGGCAGCGACTGAGATACTCGACCTGCTGGCGCAGATGCTGGTTCTCCTGTGCACTAGCCTCGAGCTTCTCGGTGAGAGAGGTGATTTGCTGGTCCTTCTGCCCGACGGCGCGGGCGAGCTCGAGTTTCCAGAGCTCGGCGCGGTTGGGCGGCGGGAGGGACATCCAGAAGGAGAAGGAGGCGTGGAGGTGGGCGTTTACTTTGTCTTCGAATTCTTGGGCGCTGGCGTTGAGAGAGGCTTGCATGGCGGGGCTGGCGTGGTGTGCGTAGAGGACGTCGTCGGGGTGGGGGGGTTTGGCGTTGTTCATGGCACGGGTGACTCGAGAGTGGTGGAAGGCGTCGCGGAAGAAGTTTGTTAGGGAGTCGTATTGGGGTTCCACGGGAGGGGTGATGGTCCAGGAGGTCGAGACGGAGGAGAGCGGTGTGAGCTGGTTGATGGTTGGGGGTGGAGGGAGGCAGGTGAGGCAGAGTGTCGGGAAGTCGAGAGAAAGAGGGTCGAAGTCGAACGGCGACTCGTGTGGTTGAACCGTTGCACTGGTATATACGTTAGTTTAGTGTTATAGACATGAGAAAACTTAGCAACTTACACAGCAGCCCTTATGCTCCCTAGAATCTCACGAAGTGCCAATTCCGCAGCCCGGGCGTTATCCAGTGCCTCTACCATCTTCTGCTTCTGATCGAAAGTGCTCTTCGCTAGCATGTGTCTGTTCGGGAAGCGCTTTCCCTCCCTATCACTGCCCTCGCCGCTATTCAAGTCGTTCCGCTGGTTTGCAAGCGGGATATTGTTAATGACCCCTGTGCTATGCCAAGTCGCAACATTCAGGGTCGTCTTAACCTTCCCCTTATGGTCCACCATCGGCTGCCTCGTCACCATGCTTGGGCTCTGCATCGGGGTGCCATTTGTATGTGGGCTTCCGCTCGCCCCCCCGCGAGGGGTCCCCGCGGGAGTACTGTCGCGCCGTGAAGTACTATTGCGAGGCTGTCTGCGCGTGATGGCGCCGCGCATCTTCCGGATCTCATCGACATCGTGTACGCCATCTGCAGGTTTAGGGTTCTTCTCTTTGATGTAAAGGTCGAGATGTCGGCCGAGGGATGAGGAGGTGAAGGGCTGCTGGCAGAAGGGGCACGACCTATCCTTAGGGGCGTTGTTGGGGTTGGCTGAAGGTTTGGAGATGGAGGAGTCGGCGACGGACCCTGGAGTGGAGATTTGCTCGGCCATTACGCACTGAGATGTAGGAGGCCTTCGTTGAGCATCTGTGGGTTCGCTGTTGTATTAAATAAAAGAGGTATAAAAAGGGGCAGAAAAGGAAAAGGAGATGCGTCGGCGAAAGTGCGGCAGAGGGCACGGTGAAGAGGTGAATAGGAGGAGCAGCACAGGTATGGAGAAAGTTTAGGTTGGGAAGATCTTTCGGGAAGATGCGAATGATAGGGGACGTGCATTCAGGGATAATTGCGACTTAGCGCTGATTGGGTGAGCGGGCGGGTCCAGCGGATTAAGTAGTCGGACTTAAACCCCAATTGTTTGACGCCACAGACGCCCTCGACATCGCTTTGGGGGAAATAGTGCTAATGAGCATGCAGGTTACAGTTCACATTTCCAGGGGAGCAAATACTCCACTCAACACATACTTTTACTAACTCTACTGGATCGAGACGTTCAGCTACACATGGATTTTTTTTTTCATGGCTTTTTGTCGTGCAGGTTTTGTCATCACACAGGCCAGGCACAGTAATCACCACCCGAGACAAGACAAATAGCTGGAGGCTTGAGCAAGGATATAAATTCTAGTTATGCTGTCTAGTCTACTCGTAGTAAAGACGGTCGAATGAACCCATTTAGAAACTCACGAGAGTTGGCAGATATGCCAAACCCATCCCCACCCCCACCTTGGCATGCTCTCCTTGCCATAGCTGAAAGAAAACGGCAAATCATTGCAAGAGAGGATCCTGGACATAATGTTAGCACACTGCGAAAATAAAAGTATCGGATAAGGTAGCTTACTCTGAAATGCTTTTGGGAGTTGCTCTGCTTGTTGTTGCCCCAGTTGAACTTTTGGCGGTCGTAGAACTCTTGCTTTCTAGCACGCTTTTCAAGGACAGCAACCTCCTTCTTCTTCGTCTCGGAAACACCCATCATGCCTCTACCGCCGTTGGCACGTGTGTTGAGTGCTCTGCCACGCTCTCTGTCGTTGCGGCGCGCCACTCTCTCATCGACCTCCTCTTCGTCATCCGAGCCCCTCGCGGCCTCGATCATGTACTGCTCTTGACGCTCGGCAGGAGATGGGTGGTTGTGAAGGTTCTGTTTGTAATACCTAGCGAGGGATCTGTGTCCAACAGCGCGTCCAGACGGAAGGTGGAGTTCGTAGTCGGAATAGTAGGCTGCGTGCCTGTGCTTGTGAGCGTGAGAGTGGAAGCCATCAGTGTTCTTATGAGGTCTAGGATCTTCCGAAGAGTGGTGTGGGTGGCGATCCAACTTCTCGTAGCGGTGCTCGCGTGATGCGAGGGGCACGGCTGTAAGATCGTCGGAATCCAAAGAAGACGTCGAACTATCAGTCTCCCATCCCTCAGGATCCTCCATCTCCTCATCACCATCGGCGTTCTTAGCTATGCGTCTGCCTCCAAGCTTGACACCACCGCTCGCCTTGCGGTCGGTAGCCTCGTCCGCGGACTCATCTTCATCATCCTCCTCGTCAGAGTATGTGCTTCTGAAATCATAGAACTCGCCAATCTCAAGCTGCTCCTCCTCGGTGCCAAAGGGAATTGTGCAGTGGCCCTTATCCCGCATGTGTGTCTGTAATCCGAATACGTTCGACTTGTACTTGCTGCAGGTAAGGCACTCTTGGAATATGTTGATCTTCTCGAACAAAGAGGCAATCAATCCATCCAAATCCACCAAGTAGTTGCGTTCTGGGATGAACATGTTGTGGATTTTCTCCATGTGGTTTACGTTCAGCTGAACGGTTGGGGAGTCGTAGTTGCAGAAGAGGCAGCGCATCAACGGGACCTCGATCTTCTTTGGTCCGGCGTCCTCCGACTTCTCCTCGGTCTCGCCGTTCAAAGATGTCTCCTTCAAGTCCTTTGTAACTTCGGCAACTTCTTCCTCATCTTCATCCTCCTCCGACTCTTCTTCAGACGAGGTTTCGGTTTCCGCAGTGGCGGTAACCTGCGAGCTGACAACGGAGCTCGCGTCATCGGCAGTGGCGCCGTTCTTGGACTTCCGGAGCAAAGCCACCTGCTTAAGGTGCTTCTGGCTCCCTACGTGGTTGTAAAAGGCGTTCTCGCTGAAGTATGTCTTCTCGCATGCCGCGCATGTCTTCTCGTATGCGGCCTTCGAGGCAGCGGCGGTCGATGATGCCTGGGCGGCGACAACCTTCTCGGCGAAGACGTCGGATGAGATGGGTGGCAAAGAGGTGACACGGCGCTTCAAGTTGTAGCGACTATTTTTCGTTAGGAAACCGAGATGGGAAGATGGGGAAAGTGAAGGGAACTTACTGCCAATCGCTCCTCATGTGTCCACGCTGGAGCTCACTGTTGCGGAAAGCAACTTGACATGTGTTACAGGTGTATGGGTGAGAAGAGGGAGGCTCTGATGCACCCAAGCCCGGAGCTGAAGGACGGCTTGCAGCCATGGTCGCCATCTTGACGTATATCAAGAATGTGTATTGTTTATTTGTGTGTTGTATGTGGGTTTGAAGAGGTTGTAGAAATGTGGTTGCGGGGTCAGGCTGAACCTTTTTCTTTGATTTGCAATCGATAAGGCGAAGGAGGGGAAGGAAAACGAAGAAAATAAGTTTGGCGAGGGGGGGTTAGATGTACTCTAAGTAGTAGTGACCTCCGCCGGCCTGGTTCCCTACTGGGCTAGTTTGATAGGACGAGCAAAGGCTTGGAGATCTGAATAATTATTCTTGGCTTAGGTAAATAGGAATGAAGTCATTCTAATGGGTGAATAGAAACCAGTTAATTCGGGTATTTAATTCTAGGGTTTTTACGGTGGCGATAATTGGGAATAATTGTGTGTTGCGATAAGCGTGTCAGGGCCAACAGGCAGCGATGGCGAGGCACGGGTGGGCTGCGATTGCTGAGGCCGCGACTACTCGAGTACTTGGTGTAAATATGTCAGAAAAGAAGAGTCTAGCATCTCCTAAGTGCCATGATTACTACTATCTCTATTTTGAAGCGTTGATATTGACTAGGGTTCCGCCAGGAGCGAAAGGGAATTGTGGAATAAATAAATAAACACACGCGATGAGAACTCACAGTCGATATTCTGCCCAACACAGATACAGAGTCATAATAGTGAACCTAGTGGACATACTGTGCGATGATAAGCTTGGCAGACTCACAGCCAGACGTTGGTTGACGCTACATGCGTCATTCCCAAGACTTCAGGACTTGGAACCCTTACTACTGATTACTATTGACTTACTACTGAGGCACGTGTGAGGCACTATAATGCTGACTAATTAAAGCTGAAAGTTGAAGTGCTGCACAACTCTACATACCACTTCATAATTGTATATACATTGGAATCGACTTCGTGCCTGTGGAAATCGGGTTTTGGAGTGAGATGAAGCTAGAGTATTATTGATCCGGAACGACTGCCGGTGCTTGCGGGTGTGGAGTTGCCCAAAATTGCCAAGAGCCCTGTCCTCGTCTGTGCTGAGTGGTGCGTATAGTGCTGTGGCGCTGACAGACAACCTTGCGGCTTCTAGACATCACGCTCTTACCTCCAACGTCGATCATAGAGCCCCCAGCTTCATTCTTCGTACATACATTCATACATACATCCTTACAAACGTATCCATATCGCCACCGGTGAAGGCTCGACCTCCACAGGCCATCCTCTTCACATCCATGTTATGACTCGCGATACGCCCGCCAACGGCTTCAATGTCGACCCCCAGGTACTGTCAGCCTTGTGGGCAGCGCAGGCACCTTCGTTTCCACGCCTGCCGCCCGACGCGCCTCCGGAGCTCCTGGCGAACACTGTCGACGTGAGGGATCCTCAGCGGGTGTATAGCATATACCGTGCCAGCAGGCGCTATAATTTCCAGCTCCTGGTCGAGAGGTAAGCATTGACCCGCCGCCCATTTGGTTCGGCATCGCTAACAGATCCGAATAGATTCATCTTCCAGATACGATATGGCTGTCGGGTGCCTTACTGCACGACAGCTACCTGCTTCACCTATCGCAGGCGAGTCGCTGGCGCAAAGCCTATTCGGAGATACAATGCTACTAGTGCCAGGACCCTGGCGTGCCATTTAGCAACCCAAGACGACCCCGAATCTGCGCTTTGCCCTCACATGAACGCACACCCCGAAGCCAAACAACCTGGGAACCCCCCCGCATCACAACATACCAAAGCTCGCTCTGGTGAGTCCAGAAAGAGTGCTGAGAAAGATGGTCTTGCAAAAGAAGCTGTCGACTTGCTGGTAGAAGACTACAATAGGAGGCGCCTTGGGGCAATATCAGAACGACTCCCTCGATCATCTTCCGACGAGCAAATCTCGGGCGCAGATGCGACGCGAGATAAGCAACTAGTTGTGCTAACTCGTGAGGATGGCGAAGTTGAAGACATATCGTTGAGCTCTCATTTGGACAACCAATCGGTGAAGATAGACCCCAGGTCCTTCGTACAAAACGTATTCAACACGGATGCCATGAAAATGCTGGAATGGTTGACACCTACCAATTTTGGATCGTTGGCCTCGTCGTTGACGGGCATGATAAATTTCCTTTCGAGTGATTCGGCGCCCAATCCGGCCGAAACGCCGCCCGAGGCATCCCAAGGAGAAGCCGAGCCGAAAAATGTTGGACAACAAACTCTCCCAACTTTACAGGAAGGTGATGTACTCGGGTCGTTGCCGGCATCGGAAATCGTACCATATAAGTCGAAATCCGGAACACCAGGTACTACGACAACTGACGGGACAAGTGCGGATAGGCAATCCACAAGTGCCACTTCTGGTCACAGCAGACATCGCCGGCGCGGTGACCTGGCGTCATCTCCGCCAGCGCCAGCTTTCAAACCTCTGAATTCTGCTGTCTTGCCCGAAGTTAGACGACGCGACTCTGGCGAACACGACAAATCCGTGAAACTACACAGAGGAGGCTCGTTTTCTGAAGATGGCGTGTCGCAACGCCGCAGGTCGAGCGATAGCCACAGCTCCATATCGTCAAAGAAGACTCGGATTGGCCTGTCCCCAAGCATCAAGGCTGCTAATACTTTTGCAACCCAAGAGACCCCGCTGCCAGCACCCAGAGGAAACGAATTAGCATCGTCAAAGACATCTAGTGTCACTAGTATGGTTGGTCTGGGACTGGGAGACAATCTGGCTAAGGGCGCGTCAGTCTTCAACGCATCTGAGAAGGCCAGGCAAGAGTCTCAACCAAGTGAATCGGAGAATCCAAAAGATGAGAATTTACCACAGTCACTCAGCACCTTGACAGTAGATAGTATTGAGTTACTATGCAATATTCTGTTGGCTGACGGTATACTCAACTTCAAGACAGGCGGCATATCTTCTATGGATGAAGGGAGGCTATGCAAAGCAATGTCCCGTCCGCCAAAGTTAAAGATTCAGCGGCAGCCAAACACAGCAAAGGGCTGGAGGATTTTCGCAGAACAGAGCCTGTTCTATGTGCTTAGCGACCGCAAAGCTCTAATCCGGTCGTTTTCAACAGAATCAAATGTTCTCTTGGATAGCCGAATGTTGATATATTGCCTAGCGCGTATAAGCAGAGTTGCGTTTGATGTTCTATTTGATGGACTTTGGAGTGTAGCTGCAGACCTGTACGATATGCCTCGGCAGCTTTCAGATATACAAGATGTAGGGAAACTACAACTCGGCGGCGACTTGCCCAGCGGTTCTCCAACAACGAAGGAAGAGGCTTCAAAAATTATGATCATATGCCTACATGCTTTGGTTGCAGCTGCTCCATACTCGCAAAACTTATTCGTCACGCGCCCAGCATCGTTATCGCGAGGAAGAGGGTTATCTTATACCCGTCACTACCCGTATGCGTCAGATTATGCCCTCAAACTTGACGATGTTCTCTCCAACGAGTTGGCTCTCAGACTAGCTCGGCGACTATTTGCAGCAATTTCTGCGAGGCGTCGTTTCCAGGAACTGGAACGGCTTAATAACTGGGAGACCGCAGGACTGGCACAGGGCACTGACATCTTGGATGATGTTCTTGAATCCTTGGAATCATTTGACATTGAGAGATCACCACCCTCACCAGACACGCAGCGATTGCCAGATGAAACCAGGTCGGCAACGATACTTATCGACTGGGCGCGAACAGTTATACTGCAAGATTGGAAAGCGACTCCAATTGTTCCTGCTGATGGCGCCTTTGGAGGAGCGTTAGCGCTCGTCAAGGCAATATATGACAGGCGCAAACCGCTTCTTCTTACAGAGCAGAACTTTCGCGCGGAATTCTTTGCGGACCGTTTAGATTCCACGGAGATGCCAGTCGAATGGTTGACATTCGCGCCTAATAGGAAGTCTGTTCACCTCCTCGACTACCCGTTCCTCTTCAGTAAAGCCAGCCTTGTTACCTATTTCAGGGCTATTAACTTCTCAAGAATGAGTGGTGCGTTTGACTCTGCGGGAACTATGACTATCCGTGTTACATCGATCGCATACTCGGCACAATCGAGCCTTGTCACAGACCCAGCCCGCAGGGACCATCTCAATGAGAAACTCCGTGTCGCAACGTCGAAGTTTCTCGTTCTACAAATTCGCCGTAGCCATGTTCTCGTGGATGCCTTCGATAAGCTATGGAGACGCGAGGAGAGAGAGCTGCTCAGACCTCTAAAGATCAAACTGGGCGAGGAAGCAGGTGAAGAAGGGTCCGATTCTGGAGGTGTCCAGCAAGAGTTTTTCCGCCTGGCGATAGCAGAAGCACTGAATCCGGATTACGGCGCGTTCACGATCGATGAGCGGACAAAGATGATCTGGTTTCAAGCTAGTTCACCAGAACCATTGTGGAAATTCGAACTTATTGGCCTCCTGGTTGGTCTCGCCATCTACAATGGATTGACCCTCCCAGTCACATTCCCCAAAGTTCTATACCGCAAGCTCCTTAACCAGCCTGTCACCGAACTGCACCACATTGAAGATGGTTGGCCTGAGCTAGCTGCTGGCCTCACTTCCCTCTTGGAGTGGGACGAGACGAATGGCCTGGTTTCTGATGTCTTTTGCCGGACCTACGAATTTAGCGCCAACGTCTTCGGGGCCCCGGTTTCCATCGACATGTCCGCGCCCAACCCCTCACCCTGGCCCCAGTTCGCCTCCCTATCCCACACGAAGATCTCCTCCGAGCTCGCCTCCGAGGCCGCCGAAGCGCCCATGGTCGATGCCTCAAACCGCAACGACTACGTCAGTGACTACATCTCGCATCTCGCGACCCACTCCGTTGCTCCTCAATTCGGCGCCTTCCAGCGCGGCTTCCTGACCTGTCTCGAGCCGCGCTCTCTCGCGCTCTTCACGCCCTCGCTCCTCCAATCCACGGTAGAGGGTGTGCAGGAGATCGACATCGCTGAGCTGCGGCGGTACGCGCGCTACGTCGGCTGGGATGCTGATCACCGCGCCATCAAGGACTTTTGGTCTGTGGTGCGCCGCTTCGGGACTGAGGAGAAGAAGCGGCTCCTTGAGTTTGTGACGGCGAGCGATCGTGTGCCCGTGGGCGGCATGCGAAATCTAGTGTTTGTGGTGCAGAGGAATGGGGAGGGGGAAGAGGGGGATGTAGCAGAGGAGGAGGGAGAGGGCACGGAGGGGCATGTAGGAAGGGGGAGGCTGCCAACGAGCTATACGTGCTATGGGACGCTTTTGCTGCCGGAGTATAAGGATCGGGAGACGCTGAGGAGGAAGCTGAGTATGGCGCTGGAGAATGCGAAAGGGTTTGGGTTTGCGTAAGGGGGGGAGGAGTTAAATCATTTCAAGGAGTCGGTTTTGGCATGGGTAGCGTATATCCTTCTTGCGGTACATACAATCGCAGATTAGCGTTTTAACGACGAGCGTTTACTTGTAATTACGATCCATAATGAAAGCGTGAAGAAGCTGTAATCACATGGAGCATTGCTCATCTACCCCTATCTACAGTTACTTCATAGAAATAGAAGCGGACTTGACTATACCCGCCATAACTTCAAACTTACCAATTTCCAAGCTCGCCTTAGCGATCATCAATCCATTTCAGCCACGCCGACAGACCACCCCAACCCCAAACCACTGCCGACAATTATCCATAACCCCACGATCCGGACCCTCCCATCACGCTCCCGATATCAGGTGAGTCAAAAATGCCGTTCTCGGCCAGGCACGCACATGGAAAATCGAGGTTAAGACAAACAAGCTAACGCAAGCTACGGTGTGGCGTCGGGTTCGGTAAATGTTGGCCCCGATCAAAACGTCTGGGGTCTGTGCCGTCTGTGCCGTCATGCCGCCACTCATTGGCCGGGGTATAGTCTAGGCCGACGGGAAAACTGGGGGTATGCATATCAATGAGTGGATTTTTGTTCGGAGAGCGCCGCCCCGTAGGGGCGAGGGTGGAAATATTTTGTGGATTGGATAAGCAGATGTTTATATATGTTTATGTGATTGAGTCTTGCTGTTAGTTTTTGCTTGCTATGGATAGGAGCTTGGATTTATAGCGAGTGTTTTTGTTTTTGTTAGTATGACGACTTCACCAGTCAGTAATGGCGCCTTCATAGCCGGCGAGGACGACAATGGCGCCTTGGGACATGAGTTGGAGCCGAGTACGCCCAGTGACGGCCTGGATACCGTGACCTCCAGCTTACATAGCAAAAGCGAGGAAGAGAAAGACTTGGAGAATGAGTCTGAGCTCGCCCCAGAGTCACATGGGAGACCTGTCAGCGCGGCTGGCATGAGCCGCCCAGTGACCCGCACCAGATCGCAGAATGGATATGGCTGTGACGATATTGAGACAGTAGAGGTGGCAGAGGAGGATGACCCCTTTATCGTCGGTTGGGATGGAGGAGATGCGGATCCGTTGAGCCCAAGGAGTCGGAGCAATTTCCAAAAATGGACGATTGTGCTGATTAATTCGGTAGCAGCTGGCTCTGTGTAAGTTGCACCCCTCCTATGATCACTTTGGTAAAGGACCAGTGCTAATGCTTGGATAGAACATGTGTTTCTTCCATATACACTGCCACTTATGAGCAGATCCTGCCGGAGTTCCACACCAGCCGGATCGTAGCCACGGTCGGACTGTCTCTCTTCATCTTTGGCCTTGGCTGCGGGCCTATGCTTCTCGCGCCGCTCTCCGAGTTCTATGGCAGGCGTCCCATTTACCTGGTCTCTTTCGCTTTCTTCATCATCTGGATCATCCCCTCCGCCGTTGCCCAGAACATGGCCACCATCCTAGTCTCTCGCTTCCTCGACGGCTTCTCCGGCTCCGCCTTCCTCTCCGTGGCTGGCGGCAGCGTATACGACCTCTATTCGCGCGACGACATGCAAGCGCCCATGATGGTCTTCACAGCCTCACCCTTCATTGGCCCCGTTCTGGGTCCTCTCGTCGGCGGCTTCATCAACCAGTACACGCACTGGCGGTGGACGTACTACGTGCTCCTGATCTGGAATTTCGCGCTGTGGCTGCTCATCATCCTCTTCGTGCCCGAGACGTACCACCCCGTGCTCCTGCGCAACAAGGCGCGCAAGATTCGCGCCGAGACAGGCGATGACCGCTATAAGGCCCCGATGGAGCTGAGTACCAAGACCATCCCGCACGAGATCCGGATCTCGCTGTACCGGCCCTTCCAGCTGCTAGCGCTGGAATTCATGGTTTTGAATCTCTGTGTCTTTTCTGGATTCCTGCTGGGTATCCTGTACCTCTTCTTCGGCGCGTTCCCGCTTGTATTCCGCAATAACCACGGCTTCACGCTCTCGCAGATCGGGCTGACGTTCCTTGGTCTCTTGGTGGGAATGCTGATCGCGCTAGCGACGGATTCGTTCTGGTATAAGAATTATAGGAGGCTCGTCAAGAATAATGAGCATGATGGGGGCGCGGAGCCGGAGCACCGGCTGCCTCCTGCGATTTTGGGTGCTGTGTTAGTTCCTGTTGGGATTTTCATATTTGGCTGGACGACGTACAGCAGTGTGCACTGGATCGTTCCGATTATTGGATCTACCATTTTTGCTATAGGGTATGTTGATTCGGTTATTGCTGGTGAATTTGCAAATATGGGTGGTCGTTGTTGTCTCGGGTTTAATATTCCCCGATTGTATACGTTGATGCTGACTTGTGTCTCACTATAGGAATCTTCTCGTCTTCACAGGAATATTTACATTTCTTGTTGACGCTTATCCTCAATATGCCGCTAGTTCACTGGCAGCAAACAGTTTTGTGCGCAGCTCTTTTGCTGGTATGTTATATTTTCTCCATTCTTGTCTCATTTTCCCATCCTCTACCATTGCTACAAACAAAAAGAAACTGGAAGAGACTAAACAAGTTTTGCGCATCTCGCTAACCCTCATCAGCTGTATTCCCTCTCTTTGGCGTGCAAATGTATAATAAGCTAGGATATCAGTGGGCGACCAGCGTACTCGCCTTTATGACAGTAGCGATGATGCCGTTCCCATACCTTTTCTTCAAATACGGAAAGCGAATCCGTGCGACGAGTCGCTTTGCTAAACCCAAATAAAACGTTATCAGAAATATACGGGGAGAGGTTTAGATCTATATATCAAGGGCCTAACGTACCATACCCGTTGATCAACTCGAAGATCGATGTGTGTGAAATTTGGTCCTCTTGGGGGACAAGATACCACCAATCTGAGTTACCGTCTAGGCATTCCCAATTTGTACCATCAAATCCTTGAGCCTTTAGTGGACCTGGTAATATAAAATTCGCGTCGCTCTTACACTTAGGGTTTTTATCAAGTCGACTTAACAAGGCTGTTGGCAATAAGACCAACCTATCTGCATTCTTTGCCGTTATCTCATCAGTGGACGGACCATTTAGAGCTTCGAACTTTATGCGACTCCAGCCTATCATCGAGCAGTACATGGGATTTAGCTTCTGCCGGGCAAGATGCAAAAATGATTTCGCACCGCCTGGCTGCATCCCAGAACCAAGATTGAACCATCGCGTGGCGACTATCACAATCCCTGGTCCTCCGAAATCGAGGAAATCGATTCGAGAGTCCGAGAGGCAATCCCAACACTCCCATGACATATCGTAAATGGAGGACTTGTATTTGACGAATCTGTTGTCCATGGGACCGTCCATCGGGGAGCCGTGGCATAGTGTAATGCCAATTCGCCTGCAGAAACTGAGGGCATGGACTTTATTTGACACTGTTCGTGGTTTCGGTGGGCCGAGAATGCAGGTCTGCGTTCGCAGCAGGAGCTTGTTAGAAGCGATCCGCGCTTCGGTCGATATGAGAGTGACGGTTCCATGATCCTTGTTGATTTCAACCTCAGTATGCTCGAAGATGTCGAGTGGAATCCCGAGCTTGGGGCCGCGACGGTGGCACTCCATTGCTAGCTGGACGTGGACATACTGCAATGCATAAGCCGAGTTCTTGTGAAGAAGGAACCTTTTATCGGTTCTGACGCATGCTAGAGGTTGTTCATTTGGCGGTGTGACTGGCTTGCGTACTGAGTTGCAGGTATGAAGCCTAATGCACCTGTGGCATACGTAGTATCCTGGGTGCTCTCTCACAAGAGCTGTAAGGAACCTAAGTCGAGCGCGTCGAAATCGGCGAAGTAGCGGTAAATAATCATAAGCAAATATATCATACAAGGATCGATTGCATAAGGCGAGGCAGGCAATAGAGCCTGTAGGAAGGTGTTTCGTTATGCAGAATAATAGTTCCAGTGGTAGATGGAGCATGTTTCTTGGCTCGGCGTCCGTGGTGATTTTGCTGGGCTTAGAAGCCATATTTACCTCTTTCTACCTACGTCCCTTGAAGGCGAAGATTTGAGTAGGAGAATGTAATGTATATCTATATATATATTACTTGTGCCGTCTAAAAAGTTTTCACGGAGAAAAATATGTCATGATCAAAGAATATTAAACAGTTGCTCCAGCCCAAACCGCCAACTAGTCGGTCAGTCATCGATTGTCTGGTCCAACCGCTAATTTAAGCAGCAATGAGTACGACGAATAGTAGGTACTTTACAAATAAGTAATTTACATACAAATCGTAGTATAAAGCTATCTTAGTTAGTTGTTAGACCAGCCGGACCACCAACTAAAACATTAGTGGCTGGGCCGGCCCGTTCATTAACTGCCCGCTAGCTGGCCAACAACTCAGTTGGTGATTCAGCTGGAGCATGTTCACATCTTATATAAGCATGAATATTCCCAGTCATGCTGACGACCCCACGTTTCACGGATCTATATTATGCCTGAAAACCCTCTCCTTCGTGCATCTATCTTCTACTCTACATCATTCATTTTATGCACACATTTCGATACCTCAGGCTATTCAGCCATTAATACCTAACAGCCTCACTGTTTTCTCTCGACTACATATCATCATAAACACCTTGACCATCGCCTTGCGCTTCCACCATAGCAACGTCGTCCCAATATAGTGTATCTATATCATGGCTCGCACTAAACAATCTACCCCCGGGACGGGCGAAAGGCGTACAACTTGGACTCGATTCCACCTGCCACGTGGGCAAGATTGGCCAACATGGTCGCCATCCCGCTCGGGTCCGCATCGCGGTCCCCTTACAGGTGTTCCAGGCATCAGCAATGTCTGGCTGGGGAGAAAGGTCGAGGATTCTGAGCAGGCTGCCTTGATCATTCGTGAGTTTTCCGGGCTGAGTCATGTCGCTGGGCCATTCAGGGGATTGGAGCTTAATACATTGTTGACCCATGATAAAATTAGTCTGGAGAACGAAGGACGCCTTAGAGAAATTCCAGGAGTCTCCAGCCTGTGATGAATTTCTGCAATACCTGCCCGAGAACGGCGAGCAATCCTCTCTCGAGTCCGGTGCATTGCTCCAGGATGTGTCTCTGGGCGACGCCAACGACGGTTCCTTGTCACCGGCACCGTCGCGGTTCCTCAGTTTCCAGTGGGTTAGCGGCATTGGTTTTGAGACGAATATGCAGCGCCGCGTAACATTCACCGCTCTCGTGATACGATACACGAGTGACAGCATCCCCCAGTCGTCGCGGAGAGCTACGTTTAGCGCTGTGCGCAAGGCATTCGACGAGTTCTGGCCAAAAGGTTGCGAGGATATCAGTTCCACACCTATGCAGACTCATTTTTGGAAGCAATGGGCCATAGTAGACAATAAAGACGCCTTGGTGGACAGCGACCCTTGGCAGCTTGGGGAGCAGGTGGCGACAGCGGGAAATGAGGGCGGTCGGATGGTTTTGTGCGAGTTTCGTCAGTGGAATGGTTATAGCGGCGCCACTCCTGAGCGTGAAGAAGCCACTGCTAACAACCCGCTGACAAGGGAATCATGGGCCCAGATGTTTGCAAAGGTGATGCCCCCGGTTATTGCCTGGGCGAAGGAGCGCTGGGACATACAGTTGCTACCCGAAAAGGAAGAGGAAGAGGGCGAGTACGAGGAGGACTCGGGGAATGACCGGAATATGGAGGGATAGAACTTACCTCACCGCCGCGATGAATAACTGGGTGATAAATGTTGATTTAGTACAGATCTCGTGTTTAATATATCTATAATACCGATGGCATAATAATACCTAGTGTTTAATGCAATTATTTATTATTGGGGATCTTTATTTAGGGTAATTAATGCCTTTAGGCACAAATGACTCAGCGGATACAATTTTTTTAACTCATATACCTATCGAGTGATTCAGGAGCATTTAAAGGAGAGTTAGTAGAGAGCGACAGGAATTTTTGCAGGGAGTAGCCGGACCCTATCGCAGATTTGTGCACTATAGAGAACGAAGACAATTTAGTTTCATATTGCACTCGTGGCCTTTTCCACAAAGGATTGCAGCGAGTCAATGCCTCTATTATCCCCACCCTTCGATTTAGCCAAAATGAGGGGAGGCCCTCCTTGAGTCCGGAACTAGAAGTGAGCCGCCTAAATAAACTCCCCCCCTGATCGGCATTGTCTCAGCATAACGGCAGTTGTGAAATTATCAGGATTCGCTTATACCCCGCTTCAATATAGGGCTGTAGACCACGTCATTTCTTCGCGGCCGCCTGCGATTCCTTGGGTACCTTCTCGGTATAAAAAGGGATACTTGGCGAATACTATATAGATCTACAGTGTGGGGTGCAGCCTAATATCCGGCCGATCCAGTTTGTATAACCACGTGACATGCCCCATGACAGGGTCTCGTCTACAAGCCCTTAGGTTGTTCTGTAGATCGAAATCTTGACTGGTAGACGTGCAGACGCATGAATCTGCGCTCTAATTCCTAGTCATTATAAGCCTTCTTATATGATGCAAACCCCTAGTCTTGTACGGGAAGCTCCGGGTACTTATTGAGACAGGTTTCAAGTAATTCAGAGTTGAATAGAAATGGAAACCGACTACTGGTTTCATACAAAGACTTAGTATTGAACAATCTAGTATATAGTCTATACTAGCCACTGATCTACACACTGAACCACTAAGTTTAACCCTGGTCATGGTTCCTTCTAAGGCTTTTTTTGACGGCATTGTTTTGTTCTTGGTGAAAATCGTTTCGTATATAACAGTGATAGGCGCGTTTTACAGTGATCGGCCACATATCTTACCCCACACTCAGCTATTACAGTGATCAGCGTGAATAACAGTGATCGGCCACATATCTTACCCCATACTCAGCCTAAAGTTAAAGCTGCCATTGATCCGATTAACATCACTGCAATAATGAGAACTGATTACCCGTAGTTGTATATAAAGCTCTATCATATCTTCTTGATATCTATATCGCCACCAAGAGCTCCCAATACATTCTACTCACACCAAATCCAACTTCCAACTACACATTTTCCAATCCAAGATGCTTTTTAAGACAACAGCTGTTCTCGCCCTTGTAGGCGGCGTGCTAGCTAGCCCTATGAAGCGTCAGAGCAGTTGCCCTGGCATTCATGTCTTTGGTGCTCGTGAGACAACAGCTGGGGCAGGATTTGGCTCTTCGGCAACTGTCGTCAATGGCATTTTAAGCGCCAATGCGGGCGCAACTTCAGAGGCCATTAACTACCCTGCTTGTGGAGGCCAGGCTTCGTGTGGAGGCGCCAGCTACTCCCAGTCCGTCCAGGCTGGTTTTGCTGCAGTAGCAACCGCAGTCAACAACTTCAATAGTCAGTGTCCTAGCACTAAGCTCGTTCTGGTTGGATATTCCCAGGTAGAGCGCCCTACTTTAGACTCTGCACCCGACAATGGCTTCCCGAAACGCGGCCATGTCAATATTTTCGAGTCCTTGCTTACAGGTTATAGGGGAGTGAAATTTTCGACACTGCGCTCTGTGGCGGCGGTGACCCCAACCAGGGCTACACCAATACTGCGGTGTTATTCAGTGCATCAGCCGTTACTCAGATCAAGGCTGCTATCTTCATGGGTGACCCACAATACGTAGCTGGCCTTCCTTACAATGTAGGAACGTGCGCAGCCGGTGGAGTAAGTATCATGCTACTACTATCTTGTTAATGAACTAGCTAATGATATCCGTTAGTTTGACGCCCGTCCCTCTGGCTTCTCATGCCCAAGTGCATCCAAAATCCAGTCCTACTGCGATGCAGCCGACCCATACTGCTGCAATGGCAGCAACGATAGCACTCACAATGGCTACGGCGCCGAATACGGAGCCCAGGCGATCCAGTTTGTTCAGAGCAAGCTTTCGGCATAATCGCGTGTCTCGAGATATCGTTCAAATAACGGCTGCCAACAGCAATAAATGGGTTATTTAGTAACTATGAGTACAAAGGCAGTCTAGGTGGTGGAATTGTGAATAAGATAACAGTGCGCTATAAACAAAATATTATCTTTGTACTAGCTGGAAATTATAAATTATGATTGTATTCAATATAATTATAAAGACGCTAAAGTAGTCGTAGATTAATGGGGGTGTTCCTTGTAGAGATCTGACGATAATGTACGTATTACGCGCCCGGAGAAGATGCGATCTTAGCCATACCATTATAGGGAGTGATAGATATAGAAGAGTGTTGTGTTGTGTTGTGTTGCAACACGTGACAGTTTTATGGGGTGGATAGCGGGTACATATATATATATAGATGACGGGAGGGAAGCTCAAAATACCAAAAGGGGAACTGTCATAGTGGTAGAGGAGCTGGGAGGGGGCTCTTAATATGATATATCACAGTCATATCATCAGTCTGGGTTGATTAAAAATATCACATTCCTTAGATACCTTTGGAAGCCCCGTGATTAAGTAATATCTGTACAACGTTGAAATGGTGATTTTGCGAAGCACGAGTCACTGCCATTTTGCCCTGCCAACCCGAAGCTATTGCTCCTCTCTCAAGCAATAATTTTACAACTGATTCGTGTCCGGCCCAAGATGCCCGGATCAATGCTGTGAGTCCAAACTGGTCTTTTTCATTGACATTGACACCGGAGTCGAGTATTCGAAGTATAGCCTCCGTGTGTCCATTTGCTGATGCTGTGCCTAGGGCAATGACCTTGGCTACTTTATCTGAGCAATTTGAAACATTATTCGATAAGGCCGCCATGAATCCGTTTTTTGCAGCCGCTATTATAGGACTTTCCAGCGTCTTCAACCCAGCTTCGACGTCATCAATGCTTCTTGCTGGCAACTGCTTGCTAGATTCATTTTTGGCGTCGGTATGTCCTTGATCTTCTATCCCGTTTCGACGCTTAAATGCCTCGCGTTCTTCAAGAAGGATCTTTTGTCGCGCCTTCCAGCTTGGTGTGTAAAATTTGACCATGCATGCTGCAATTGCTGCGAGTAATACACTTACCCAAGGGCCCCATTGTCCAATAACGTACGGCTTTTCGCTGGATTCAAACCCGCCATCGTGGGCTAGGATAAACACTTCGTTGAGGATGATCACAATTGCGACGGATGGAACGGCGAAAATTGTCCAACACATTGTCATGGTGCTAGGTTTGTACTCGCCTCTATTAAGCTCGTCTCTTGCATGTTTGCGTGCGCTCCTTTTGGATCTGGCAACTTTAGCGGTTTCAAAACCCTCCCTAGGCTGGTTGTGGCGAATTGTGTCTCTAAGTTCGGCTTCTGTGGATTTTCTATGCATTGGTATGCATCCAAACAAAGCAGAAATGACGCCAAAAGCTCCTGTTAGAGCAAGAGCACCTTGCAAGATATTAAAATGCCCAAATATCGCCTTCTTGGAAATGATTGCAATCTCGGATGTCGCGCGCAGAGGCTGGCTGCTTCCGAAGCAGGTATAACTGCAATTAAAGGTGTGGTCTAACAGCTGAGCCTGACTTGTTAACAGCATATTGGTGCTCGACCGACACTCCAGCTCATCGGGATATTCCCTGTGTATGGAAACTAAGCTGCATATAACTCCGATCGACATCAATGTGCCCCAGAATCCAAATACTGGGCTGTACTGGGATTCGCTTATAGCCTTCGATGTGGTAAATATTGGCAGGACGGCAAGGCATCCTATACTGATGATGGCCCATGTCCCTAACACGTCGATATCGAGGAGACCCTTTTCGCTCACAATTGCCATGATCAGAGCATGCACAGCTGCGGTGCTCGAGTACGTCATAATGTATGCTAGCGGACCCGTGACAAGCCATGGGTGAGAATGCCCGACGACCGCGAAGACAATCAAGGCGTAGTAAAGTAATCGATTCAGGAGCGAGTATTGGCCACTCAACGGGTATACACAAAGAATGCGATTTGCATCATAGGTCGCATTGTACGCTAGTGCGCCATGTGAGTAGTCCCAGTACTGGTACGGGTCAATGGGAGAGTCGTCAGCAACGCCAGGCGTGGCTAAGAAAAGGAGAAATGCGAGGGACATCGTCTCGCATAGTATGATAATAGTGATAGTTTCGTGGAAAGTAGATTCTTGAAGGACTTATTCATTATACTCGGAATTTGGGGGTTTTTAAAGCTGTAGCGCGAAGAATCCGACATTTGCTACGAAGCAAGGCACGATGGTGGCTGTGCATGTTGAGGCTTCCATTATAAGTCCCACGCAAGGCTCCGTCCCTTCCTACCATGAACCGCAACAGAAAGCGATAACAATGTCATTAAATATAAGTGGCTTCTATAGCCCCGACTTGGTTCTTAATGTTGTGGTGTTTACGGATACTAACTAATCGTCGGATCGAAATGTTCCCATTTTCAAGTTCGAGTTCGAGTTCGAGCCCAGGCCCACGCCCACGCCAAGTCATCCCGCATTACAATAGTGGCTAACCCACGCCCCGCCCCGCCCCGCCTTCGCTCTGGCCTGTCTACCCCTCGACAGCCCTGTACAGCCCTGTACATCCCCCTCTTCTCTGGCTGCATCTCATGCGACCTATCGCAAAGGCTTAACGTGTGAAGAAGGCTTAATTAATTGCGGCTGACGTAGTATTCTGTGGGTTGCCATTCTCGTATCAAGCCGTTAGTGCAAATGCGAGCAGTACGTCGTGGTCAAAGAGTGTTCTTGTCCCTCTGCCTTGATTCCCGTGTCGATCCCGCAGCGAGACCTAGACCATCCACGTGTTCCTCCTTAGGCTGACAAAAGACCTCGTCCACCGCCACCATGGGTTTATTGAAAATGCTCGGCTTGATGGCTGGCTAGCACAGACCACCCACTTCCCTAAATGGCCTCAGCCACGGAAGCTATCAGTGTTTCCCGAAATATTGATTCCTAGAATGACCCTTTTTGAGTGTCCCACGCTGGCGGTGAGTCCACTACTAAACGCCGAGGGCTTCTTTTGTCCCGCGTTGGGTGGTCGGGTTTCCCCGCGTCACTACGGAACCATTGAAGATTGGGTTGAAAAAGTCTTACTATTGAACCACAGGGCGCGATTTTGTCTCTGTTGCTATGAGCATGTCTGTGCAAAGCGTCCCGTCCCAGGCTGAATCCCTTCAGCCGTCGTAGCAGTAATCTCCCGTATACAGTGTATATAAGTCCACCCTCTGCGAAGGACAAAGGCATCTCTTCCCCTCCCAGCTGACACAAACGATCAACTCGAACATCAATCGTCTCCATAACTGTCACCTAATTCTTTACAAGTCTTCTTCCTCACTATGAAGCTCACCCTCACACTTGTGGCCACCGTGCTACCTCTTGCCGCTGTCGCCGGGCCGGTCGTGTCACGCACCAATGTCAACGGCTGCAAACCACTGGGCTGTTACACCGATTCTGCCTCATTCCGCGCCCTCGACATCAACACCCAAGTCCCTGGCGGCCCTAGTGGTCAGAGCCCCGAGGCTTGCACGGCAGCTTGTATCGCCCACGACCTCGCCTTCGCCGGTGTTGAGAATGGGGGCGAGTGCTGGTGCGGCGCGTTTATCAACAATGGACAGACCCTTGCCTCGAACCAGGCTCTATGCAGCACACCATGCTCCGGGGCCCCAGGCGAGATCTGTGGCGGAGCTGGCGGCATTAACATTTACGACTGCACAGCGGCCTTGCCAGCCCCAGTGAGCTACAATGGCTGTGCTCCTCTCGGCTGCTACACCGACAGCGTCTCCCATCGCACCCTGGCCACCAACACCCAGGTCGTAGGCGGTCCAAACAACCAAGGTCCTGATGTCTGCACGGCGGCCTGCAAAGCAGCTGGCTTCAGATACGCGGGTAACGAGTACGGCGGCGAGTGCTGGTGCGGCAACAGCCTTGACAACAACGGTGGACCAGCTCCGGATCTGAACGAACAGTGCCAGATGCCCTGCCACGGCGACTCCAGCCTCATGTGCGGTGGCCCCGATCGTCTGACCCTCTTTGACTGCAGCCCGCCCGCTCCACCTACCAGCTGCGGCACTCCAGGTATATGCGGCACCTTTGTCTTGGTCGCAGATGCCTCGTGTGGCGAGTTTCAAGAATGCATGTGCGCTTTTGATGCTGATGGAAGCGCCGTCTGTGTAGAGAACGCGTGGTGTTCTAATACTGCCTGCACCTCAGATTCCGATTGTGCTGGAGGTGGAGTCTGCTGGGTCAAGAGTTGCTGCGGCCAAGGCATCTGCACCGTCCCATCTACCATTTGCGCCAACCCAGCACGCGTGATGTTCCGTAGCGTGCCAAATTCCGAGAGGAGCGAGTGCACCGGTGCCTATTGCGACTAAGGTGAAATAAGCGTGTTACAATGGGATCCTGCGTCCCTCTATTAGTTACAATAGGTCTAAATAGCTTAAATAGTTTAAATATACTTGGTTGTCTGTTAATTAGCCTACGAATGATGACCGATCGAGCTGTGTGGTGGAGGCTGTGTAAAGCAGCAACCAACGCCAGCCGAAAACAGCAGCTCCGGCACCAATATCTTACATAAACTTAGAATTATAGGATAAAGGGTTTTTAACAGTTTCTGGCCTATGAAGTATCTACATAACTTGACGAGAAACAGTACTGCATCTCCTTTAGTATTAGTATAGACATTCGGCTTCCTTTACGGCGTTAACGCCCCAAGAATCCTATTTGCACCATTCCCGACCACTGCAAAATCCCAGTTCGTGTTTATAGAAGTACCTGGATTACCGTCTTCTGGTTCTCCATACAGGTAGTACAAGTGAGTGACTAAGAAGATGTAGTTCTCAGGATTTCGCTTTTTTGTGGCTTTGGCAGCGTTAATACACGCGGCGATATCATCTATCCATGACGAGTCAGTATTATCAAAGTACACAATTCTGAGAATACACGGGTATTGTGTATGGGAAACCTACAGATCTCATCCCCCTGAAGAAATCCGGTCGGGCCGGCTCCGTTGAGGACGTGAAGGGCCTCGTGGAGGAGGGTTGCGCTCTTTGGTACCACATCCGCAAGGTTGGTTCCCGCCTGGATGAGCGCATCCCCATCCCTGTAATTATTTGGTTTTCCGTTCGTGAAGCTGCTACCGCAAAGTATGATGCTCTCTATTCCGGTGGGTCGGGTGGGCTGGTTCAACTCTGTAATCTCGGCGGTGAGACCAAGACCGGCACCGTCACAGTAGTCGCCGCCGGTGGGCGAGAAGTAGTATCCGTTCACCGGTGTGAGGTCGCCGGACCACCAGGCTTCACTGGTTTTATTCTCAGCGAGGGCTTCAGCGTACCCGGGCACGTCTCCTATGGTGACGATGTTGCCATTGGCGTCTATGATGTCCTGGGCGTTCCAGTCCTGGGCCGGCGTGTCCTCCGCTTGGTGTATAAGAAAATTGCTGTCACAAAACAAATAGCGGTTCCCGTTCAGAGGATACATTGGTACGCCACCAATTTGTCGAAAGTCGAAGAAGTCCTTAGCACGTTGGAATTGGCCTAGCCACCTCGTTAGTCCGGTCGACGTTTTTGGGTCGGGATAAACATTTTATCGAATAATCGATTAACATTTTCTAAAATAAACGCCTTGTAAGAGACTTGGGTGTCAATACGTACCGATGATTTCGTCGATTTCAACCCGCGCAGGCGCCGAAGCCTTTCCATTGTTGCGGATGCCGAAGAAGATTTGAAGCGCCCTTCGAACTTTGATATCTTGGTCGTATGTATCAAGTCGGTTAACGACCAAGTCAAGGGCAAAGGTGATTTCTGTGTGCCAGTCATCCAGTGTGCCACTTTCCGCCGCCTGGTTGAAATGAGTATCGCAGCCGCCGTCGGTGCTCCCGCTCTGGACTATGAACAAATCATTAAGGGACAAGCCCGAGACGGTGCGGAAAAGGAAGATGAGGAGTGCTGTAACCAGACCCAGAGGAAAGAGCAGCCTCGCCATTGTTCGCCGCGAGCTCAGGAAGGACCAAAGATAAAGAGTCGCTGGACGTGAGGGCAATACTATGTGCAACAACCCAAGACAATGAAGTAATCCAGCATTTCTTAGGGAGTGGGAATATGGGTTGTCCTGATGGACGCGCCGACCAGGTTGCTTGCTTACGGCCGCCTGATCATGTATGATAACGACATTCTCTCATCTAAGAGACCAAGCATGGCCTTGCAACCATCTACTGATAGGCAAAATGGCCTTGCCAGCTAGGGATTGCTGACATACATGACATTAGAACGACGATCACTCCGTGGCCATGTAGGCTCAGCTCAGCGTCGGCAGTTTATTCCATGAGACACACTTGTCGATAAAGGTAGCCGTCAATATTAGATTATCAACCATTAGCTTCGGTTAGGAGCAGGCCATTGTACCTTCTCCCGATCCTTTCGATATAACCAATAACTGTCTGATATTATAAAATGTGACGGCAACGGGGGTTAAACGGGGCCCAGGTAGGGCCTCGGCATAGGATGTCAGATAATAATCGTCATAGTAAGTAAACTTGGCAGCGAAAATAAAGGTGTCGTTATATATCACTTTACATCAACAAGGTGATTGGTTTCCTTCCCTGCTTACTGTGACGATTAATATGGAAAAAGGGAAGGTGGCTAGGGACGGCAAGGGTGGCTGTTCAAGGGTGCGCCACTCCAGGCACTACTATGTGATTGTTACGCGGCTCGAACGGTTATATCTCAGCAGCAGTCGTAAATACCCTAGAGTAGCTAGCATGTATAGCATAGTAGAGTTGTTTAATTTATATCACAGTTGGTGAGACTTCCGCTGGATTATAGTTACTTTCTAAGATTTAGCTATTAAAAATATAGCTATTTACATCCGGTATAGAAGCTAACACATTGGTTCCGAATTAGCAACGATTGGCGACGGTTGGAGGTACCATACTGGATTTGTATGAAACTCCGGTAAGGTAGTTAGTGTCAATGCTTTTGGGAGGCTGCAATACAATACACTCATGGCCACTGAAGGCCGAGAGATAATTTGTCTTACTTCGGCAACATCCCTTGAAATTTGACGAAGTCTATCCCGCTGTTGTTGGCCGAGATAGGATTCATCTTACATTGGCAACATCCTCCGACTATCGTTTCACTGCATAGAGACACAGTCAGCGATGGAAGTTTGGTCTGCCGTCATAGCCGTGATCACATAAAGAACGATAGGATTTATGTGTCTTACAATTAGGCCGAATAAACCATGTAAAGTGGCAAGGTTAGAGTAACATCCGTGATGAAGCTGAGAAGAAAGGACTGTTACAATACGCCCATTTCCGCAACTTATCTATTACAATATATTGTACTATTGGTAACGCGCATAGTTTGTTGGGCTAGCAGGTTCAAGTGTATATTTAACTAATGCATGCCTAATCCTACAGGATGGGCCAGGACCAGGTATATACAAGCTATGATTGAAGAGACGGGTTCTCATCTAGGATCTACTGTCGTCCTTCTTGCCCTAGTCCTGAGTCCCTGCCTAAGCCCCCGTCGCCACGATCTTGACAAGAATTCCTGCAGGGGTGTACCCAACGGGGTACGTCGACGCCGAGTAAGCCGGGTTGGTCGCGTTATATACCACGCCCAGCGAACCTCCATCGGTGCCGCAGGTGACAAGGGCATTGGTTGTGGTGCTAGTGCCGGATCCGCCGTCGATGGTGTTAGCGATGTCCGCAAAGAGCACACTCGAATCGACAGTGCTGTCGATGTGCTTGGCGATGGCCTGGGCAGTGCCATGGGCATAGATAACCCACTCGGCGCAGTCAGGGGCATCGGCCGCAGCCATCGTAAAAAGGCGCCCGGCCTTGGTCTGGGCCCCGTACGCGCGAAGATACGCCGCGATGTAGGTTACGTCGGCAACCGCGACATCCTGCGGCGTGTTGTCGGGCGCCGTATAGCAGAGGAGGTCAGTTGTCTCGTTGTCGTAGCAGATCTGCGCCGCGCGGGGAGAGGACGTGCGGGAGCTCGGGGCAGCAATGACGGTGCCAAGTAGTGCCAAAGGGACAAGATGAAGGAGGCTTTGGGTGAACATCTTTAAACGGATGTTAGAGATGCCTTTGAGAGAGTTGAAAGCTGAAGTCTTCTGGTGAGGATGGGTGGGATTTCGGAGGTACTGGAACTGGAAGTGAAGTGTGAAGTGTCTTGGTGATGAGGAAAGCAATGGAATTAAGTAGGCTTATAACTATACCAATGCCTCATATTGTACATGTATAGTATCAGGTTGTAGAAACACCGACACCGATGGTTGAAGATAAACACGCTTTCACAAGTCCAGCTGGTTAAGCCCCCCTGTCGAGTATTGTACTACACAGCACATACGACGCTGACTATCACATGCATGCAGATACGGAGGCAAAGCCTCAAAGTAGTATAGGTTGAGTCCAATTTTATAGCCACATGTATAGGCACCAGATGACACTCATCACAGCCGTGGGATCCCGGGTTATAATATCCATATATTAATACAACAACTACTCTTATCGCTGTGCACAAATGTTAGGATCCCATGTTATGATGCGTCTACAATAATACTTCACGGCTTACGTCGAGAACAGGCTTAAATCCGTACAGGGATATCAAGTCTGAAAGTGATATATGCCTTAGTATGGTGGTGATAACGGGTTTGGCGCTGATGATTGGGTTTCCTTGACGCTAACGCTATACAAGCATTTATGCATGTAAGATCCCACTTACCGCCCCCACCTGCTCGGCCCTTCCCGCTAACGCCTTGCAGATCCAGGGTACGACGCCATAAATCTCCGTACGGGCCTGAACACGACTTTTGGTAAATCAACATCTCATTTGCTACGATTTGAGCACTAGCCCCCACGGTGCTGCACTGTATCTTCCGGCTTTCCGTTTCGGCCCGCCGGAATCCTACAAAACATCCCCTCACATTAAACTAACTCCCTGGCTCATGTTAGAGCCACCCCGCGCCTCACGTCAGAATCTAGACCACGGCAACTATAGCCGTCTCACGCGGGGGTCTCACGCGCCGGGACATGGCTTCTAGTCTCCAGGCAGTCCACCGTGTAAGGATGGACCGTCAGCATTTCCATCGATCGGATATGCCGACACCTCTACACTATACAGGTGCGATACAGGGGGTTTTACGGGCTAGTATTTCTGTCCATGACATTAGGGAAGATGTCCTTCCCCAAATCTGTTCTTTCCTCACCACTCGCCCTTTTTCGAATCTAAGAGACTACCGTCAAGCCTCCACGGTGACATGACGGCTCCCCTAATTTTCTTGTTAGCTTTGCTAGCTGCACAATGGGGTCTTGGGCAGTCGGCCTCCTCACATTACACCCCAAACGCGAAGCAAAATGCGACTGCACTCCACTTCAACCCGCGGGTGGGCTATGCCTCTCTGTTGCTGTATTGTTCGGGACAATGCTAATCTCTGATCGTAGCCTGCACCGGCCTATATGGTCGACAACCAGCACAACTACTTCCATACAGCTCCTGACAAGGGGAAGCAGAACGGTCCCCTCTGGCGCTACTCTGGTAGCCTTAACAAGTACATGACCAACCTTCGCGGCGGCACTGTTGTTCGTGGCGGTTATGCCAAATCGAACGGAACCAGGCGAACAACTCTCAAAGCCGCGGTGACCAAACGGCAGTCCTCCTCGGACTACTGGCTCGCGAGTCTTGGGTCTAAGGGAGCTGTAGGTTTCTTCCCCTTTTGAGTGAAAAATGGACACTGCCGACGTGTTGCTAATGCTGCATTCAAGCAACCATTGGCCGGCGGAGATGACTACCAGTTCTTCCGCAATGTTGTCGACGACTTCGGGGCCGATAATTCGGGAGACACGGACACGACCGAGGCGCTCAACGCAGCCGTGGCCAGCTGGAACAGGGACTCGGTGGGGGGTGCCAAAACGCGGTGTGGCGAGGATTGTGGCAACACATTTGCGCAGGGTGCCATCGTCTACTTTCCCCCAGGCACATACAAGATTTGCTCGCCTGTGATCCAGTACTACTACACGCAGTTCATCGGTGACCCCAACGACATGCCCACCATTAAGGGTTGTGATACCTTCCAGGGCATCGCGCTATTCGATACGGACCCCTATATCCCCGGGGGGTCGGGCTCGCAGTGGTACGTGAACCAGAACCAGTTCTTCCGCCAGATCCGCAACTTCATTTTTGACCTCAACGACATGCCGGAATCGACAGCAGAGAACGACCAGGACCTAGTGCCGACCGGTATCCACTGGCAAGTGGCGCAGGCCACGTCGCTGCAAAACTTGGTATTTAAAATGCCTACATCGAGCACCACGACGGCCGTTGGCATATTCTCCGAGAACGGCAGCGGCGGCTTCGTGTCCGACCTCGAATTTAATGGCGGAAACATCGGCTGGCGCGCGGGTTCACAGCAGTATACGGCACGTAATCTGCAGTTCAACTCTTGCAACACAGCCGTGCAGATGGTTTGGGATTGGGGCTGGAACTGGCAGCAGATCGAAATTACCGGCGGCTCCATCGCCTTTAACATCTCGGGCACAGGCGGCGACACAGGCCAGGGCACGGGCAGCGTATCCATCATCGACACTATAATTAGCGGTACAACCGTCGGCATCCTGACGAACGGGCTAAAGTCGTCGCCTAATATTGTGCTAGACAACACCGTCTTTAAGGACGTGGCCAGCCCCGTCATGGTGGATGGCGGTGACACGATCCTATCCGGCAGTTCCGACTTGTGGGCAACAGGCAAGCGGTACAATGGCTCAGTTGGCACGACCGAGACTGGGGACGTGACAGCACCTGCCAAGGCCAAAGGGCTCCTCGACTCCGACTCGGGATTCCTCTATGTGCGCTCGCGGCCGCAATACGAGGACCTGAGTACCAGCTCCTTCCTCGTGGCAACCACCGACGGAGGGTGCAAGAATGATGGCACGGGCGATCAGCAATCCTGCATCAATTCCTTTCTGCAAAAGGCCGCAGCCGCGGACCAGGTGGCCTACTTCCCGGCCGGGATCTATACAATCGGCGGCACCGTGCTGATTCCCACAGGTTCGCGCGTGCAAGGCTCTTCGTGGTCGCAGATCCAAGGGTCGGGCTTCTACTTCAGCGACATGAACAACCCCAAGGTTATGATACAGGTCGGCAACAAGGGTGACATCGGCACCATGGAGATCGTCGAGATGCTTTTTTCAGTGCGTGGCGCCACGGCCGGTGCTGTCCTCATGGAGTGGAACACAGCGGCATCCGAGCAGGGCGCGGCGGCCATGTGGGACTCTCACTTCCGCGTCGGCGGCGCCCTCGGCAGCGATCTTGACTTTGCTACCTGCCCTAAGTTCAGCTCCAAGGACGAGTGTATCGCGGCCTCGCTCATGTTCCACGTGACGCCTCAGGGGAATGGCTACTTCGAGAACGTGTGGGCGTGGGTAGGTGATCATGATAATGACGCGAGCGTCTTCAATCAGCCCGACTCAACCATCACGCAGGTTACCGTTTACGGGGCCCGCGGCACGTTGATCGAGTCCCACGGCCCGTCATGGTTCTACGGAAGTGGCTCCGAGCACACGGTGCTGTACAATTACTTGCTCAGCGGGGCCAAGAACATATACATGGGCCACATTCAGACCGAGTCGCCCTACTACCAGCCTGTCCCTGGCGCCCCGGCGCCCTTTGGCGCGGCCGCGAGCTTTCCCAACGACCCAGACTTCAGCCAGTGCAATATCACGGCCAACACAGACAACGAACAGTGCCGCTATTCTTGGGGACTGCAGGTCATCGACTCGACCGACGTCACCATCCACAGTGCTGGGCTGTACAGCTTCTTCAACGCCTATTACCAGGACTGCATAGACACTCACAACTGCCAGGAGCGCGTTCTTGAGGTTAAGGGGTCCACTGGAGTCGTCATTTACAACTTGTTCACCGTTGCCATCGTCGACGCAGCCAATGGCATTGATGGCTCCAGCATCCCCCAGGCAGACGTCCAGCGTGGCTTCACGACTGAGGTCAGCGTGTGGCTTCCCCTGCCGGGTGGTGACAATATCGACATAGTCTGGGTAGGCACTGAAGTGTGGGAAACGCCGACGGTGACCTGCTCGTCGCCGCCCTGCATGTTAATCATACCAACGAGCTCGCTGGCACAGGACACCACTATCACGCCTAGCAAATACAAAACCTCGTTTGAGTACGGCGGGTTTGTTCCCACCACGATTGGCGGCATAGGGACCACAGTCTTCGTAACATCCACGACCACCGTGACTATCACGATCCCCACCATTGTCACGAACGGCATCGGCTATTCCAACGTCAATGTGACGGCCGCGGGACCGACGCCCATCACCATATACCCTAGCATCGACATCCCACCTATCGGCGTCACATTGCCCGACGGCCACGGCGGCGAAACCACACGCACTGTCACCCTCCCGCCATGGCCGCAGGTGAATGGCGGGCCCACCATCGATTACACGGATCCAGGCACCGTGCCTGTCGACACCGGCGGCAGCAGCGGCGTAGGTAAAGCCACCACGTACTATACACCCATCGGCGTCCCCGTCACAGTTTCTGGCGCAACCGTTACGACCCTTACGTTCCCAGCCACGACCGGAGCCATCACCATCTCCTGCCCGGCCGAGACGTCCGTCGTCTTTGCCACGCCACCCATTGCCGTTGCTACGACATGTACCAACGCAGGCTCGCTTACATTCAACTTTGTCTGCCCAACTACTAAGGTGGTCACCTTCCTTGCGTCCACCATTGCGATGGTCTCCGTCGACTGCTCTCTAGTCACGACCTGGAGCACAGGCCAAGCCGCTTCTACTACGACGCCGCTGCCCATCTGGGCCACCTGGCCTGTCTACGGCCAGATCATCCCTGTTACGACGAGCATCGACAAGCCCCAGCCGACCGATGACGGCGTGGTTGTGCCTTGTAAGGCGTGGTTCTTCTTCATCTGCATCTCATGGGGAGAGCTTCACATCAACGCCTGGCACTGGGTCTTGCCGCCGGGAATTTACGGTCCCGGTCCCCCACCCATCGGCCTGATCAGGTGGCCGCCTGGCATTACCATCAAAGGAAACCTGCCGAACTGGCCCAAGATCACCATCGGACGCGACAATCAGATCACGACCGAGGAGGAGGGCGAGTGCGAGACACAGACGGCTGAGGCCTGCACAACCACAACCTTCGTCTCGGCCGACTCAACGCTCTCGTCGGCCTCCATGTGCGAGACCATCTCGGGCTGCTCTATAAGCGTCTCGGACGAGTCTACCACGGTCATTGGCACGCAGACGCCGGCGCCCATCGGCACCTGGCATGACGAGGTCTGGGCCACCATGACTTTAGGTGATGCCTTTAGTAACTCGGTCTACGACGCCCTGAGCGCGCAGATGGCCCGCGATGAGGCCAGCGGCGATGGCACGACCATTAGCTTCACGCCAGGGCCCACAGCCGGACCAACGTGCGCGGGAGCCACCACTGCCTGTGGCGGCACGCTTTGCTCTGGTTACTATTGCACGCCCACCCCAACCGGCTACCCACCCGGCTTCCAGGACCCACAGGATCCCAGCTCGGGCGGCTACTCGGCGCCCACGACAAGCATCGGCGGCTCGACGACGACGACCAAACCGCCGACCAGCACCTGCACCGTCACCAACGTGTGCAATTGCAATGAGAGTGGTTGTGATGCGTGCTCACCAACTTGCTGCGCTAACGGCACGTGCGGTTCTGATGTGTGCACCATCACCGGAGTGTGCAACTGCAATGAGAGTGGGTGCGACGCGTGCTCGCCGGCTTGCTGCGCCAACGGCACCTGTGGGGACACCTCGGTAGCACCTCCGACGTCAACGGCTGTTGATCCCTGCGCGGGGTTCGACTGTCGGGCTTGCGGGTCGCCGTTTGATGATGCGTGTTGCCAAACGTTTTGTACTAGTTAATTATCAAGATGGTAGGCGTGGCGGTGACGACCTGAGGAGCGGTTCTCGTGACGCAGATGCTGGTGACACCGTGGGAGGTGCATGTATTCAACTGGCAGCTATATTTTATATAGAGTTTGACAAATTGACCATCGGTCGAGTTGGCCATTTTCCGTGAAGCCGAGGAACAGTTCTTATCTAAAGGACCCACATGGTCATCTTTCTATGGTAGGAGGTATATTTAAGGTGCCTCAGCTCGACCGTTTATGAGACAGTAGTCGAAAGCGCGTCTTGGCCCTATAGGTGGCAGAGCATCATCGCCTCAACTGAGTATGCTGGGCATGACACAGTCGTGCCTTGGACTACAGGAAGGTGGCTGTGGACAGAGTCTCTCATCCCATCATCAAAGCACGCACTCGTTACTCGAAGTTGAAGATATTAGCAACCCATGTCTAACTGGCCGTGACCATCGCCGTATAGTCGGAGATCCGAATTTCAAGCAGTGAAATTTTATGCCTCATAGCTGACTCGGATTCCGTGAAATATCATAAGAATTGGCGATGTCATCATGGTAGCCGGATAACGGCACGTACATTGTGGACAATAGCCCTCGTTGATGGATAGACAGCCATAGCCATCTTAGGAAGGTGGCACTTTGACGCCGAAACAGAACATCTACACGAAACATTCCGTCTGATGCCAGCCAGGCTGGGGTGCGCGAGCGCGGGTACATCGAGCTTCCTTCTTCGTCTGTAGTTGACGCCGCTCACTAGTTAGTTTGATGCAACCCTCGTATCCGCAAGAGCGCATCGAGAAGACGTCCGGCGGTTCTCATTCTGTCAAATCAGTGGCCTCTGCTAGGGTCTGGGCATTCCTAAAAGAAGCTTTAAGAAGCTTTCCCTTGGCGGTGAGTTCTGCGCTAAATCATGGAAGTGGCGTCGGCCAAGACCAACATCACAAGAGGAAGTCCGATGTGCAACTGTTGATGATGTGATCGCGATAATGGATTTGGGGAACGGGGGAGATGTCTAAATGCGGGGAGTCGTTTGCGGTCTTCAGCTGGACCATGTCTAGCTTCTGATAGTGGCAGGTGATGGGCCGGCGAATGGTTTGTCCGTATTGGTTGTTCCTGACTGCGCTACAGCCGCCTCCCGCCCAAAGTTCAGCGAGACAGCGAGACATCTCCGTCATAGGTGGGAGAGCAACGTTTCTATTTTAATCCTTTCTCGATTGTTTACATAGTATAGCCTATTCTATGGGGAGGATTGGATGAATATCACCCGCTCGGTTGATCTTCCCCGAAATGCCTGCCCTTTAATCTCCAGCAAAAACGCCGAAGGATGAAATTGTGGTAGATCCCGCCAAGACGGATAACCCCCACACACCGTTTCGTTTCCCCGTGGGCACCAGCTTCCTCATCCTCTCAATGCACCACCAAGATCTAATTCTCTTACAGTGCCACTCTATAGAAGAGGCTATTAAGGCTTATCTGCCATACGCTATGTCCAATGGATGCTCTGATAATGGCCCAGCGAGGGGCTGAATCCTGGCTGCATGGCAGACGTGCATCGTCCAAAGGGTACCTTGGCGATCTCCGATCGTCACTAGCATCCACCTGCCTACTTTGGGTCTTCTGCCGGCGAACACTCATCGCATTAGGAAGATGTGTGTGAATATCGCCACAGCCTCAACCCTAAGCTTCTCCCATTTGACGCATTTGAATCAACGTTTCAACGGCAGACCTGCCAATGATTCCTTCCAGATGTGCCATGGACCCTTCGTGTCATGGGTGCCATCAGCGCCGCACGCGCAGTAGAACCAGTGGACCCCAGGTCATCTTCAAAATGCTGCAGATCTAAATATCACATGCCACACCCCACGTTCAGACGCTACAGTCAGGCACTACTTATCAACTACGGGGAACTTAGTCGGCGGTTCCTAACCTTCCAATTAGAGAACAATGCACCGAAGGCCGGCCTACCACATGAGGGAGGTTGCTAGCTAAGCCAGTCCGTCCGGAGCGTTGATCGGCAGTCCGGCGCCATGATGCTTGGTGATCCTTGGCCCAAAGCTTGTGTCAACCTTGCGCAACATCATCATCTCTGTGATGTACCATTGTGACAATCGAGAGGATCTATAAAGGGGCCGCGATGGAACGTTCCTAGATCCTTCGACACTCCCTCATCCAGTCTTCTCTCCACATCTCCATCCAACCCTCAAGCCAAACCACCGTCAAAATGGTCGCCGCCAGCAAGCTTGCCCTGTTCGCCACCGCCGCTGCGAGTGTTGCCGCCGCCCCTGCCGCCGAGGCCGGCGTCGCGACGTCCTTTAGCGTCCCCGCTGTCCACAACGGCAACTACCAGCGCAATGGTACGCTTGCTCTGCTCAAGGCCTACGCCAAGTACGGCCTGACTCCCTCCGAGCCAGAGAGCATCATCAACGTCCTTCTCGGAAACCTTGTCAAGCGCCAGGACGGCACCGTCCCAGCCAAGCCTGACTCCCAGAACGTCGAGTACGTCTGCGAAGTCACCATTGGCGGACAGACCTTGAACCTCGACTTCGACACCGGAAGCGCCGATCTGTAAGTTGTTTTCACAAGAATGAGACATGGGAAAAGTAGCTCATATGTTTCTAGCTGGGTCTTCTCCACCAGCCTGCCCGCAACTGCGCAAAAGAACCACAACGTCTTTGACCCTACCAAGAGCACCACCTGGAAGAAGATGTCTGGCGCATCCTGGAGTATTCAGTATGCTGATGGCAGTGGATCTTCCGGTACCGTCGGCACCGACACTGTGACCATTGGTGGCACCACCGTTAAGGGACAGGCTGTTGAGATTGCCAACAAGGCTTCCTCCCAATTCGTCTCTGGCGCCAACGATGGACTCGTCGGACTGTCCTTCAGCAGCATCAACACTGGTATGTTTTCTTTGTCTATAGTTTGCGCCGGCCTGCAAGAATGTTCACTGACAATCTGTCTTCGCAGTCCAGCCAACCCAGCAGAAGACCTTCTTCGATAACGCCCAGGCCAGCTTGGACCAGCCCCTGTTCGCAGCCTACCTTCCTTTCCAGGCAACCGGTGCCTACGACTTTGGCGCCACCGACTCCAGCCGTTACACCGGCGAGATTTCCTACACCTCCGTCGACAACAGCAACGGCTGGTGGGAGTTCCCCAGCACCTCCTACAAGGTCGGATCCAAGGCCTTCACCTCCCCAGGCTACACCGCCATTGCCGGTTAGTTTGTTTCTTCCCATCCTCCCCACCTCATCACTAACAATTTCCAGACACCGGAACCACCCTGATCCTCATGGGTGACGAGCAGGTCGCCAACTACTACAAGAGCGTCCCCGGCTCCAAGTTGGACAACACCCAAGGCGGTTACGTCTTCCCCTGCAGCACCACCCTCCCATCCCTCACTGTCGCCATCGGTGACGGCGGTGATGCCGTCATCCCCGCCAAGTACCTCAACTTCGCCCCGGCTGACAACACCGGCACGAGCTGCTTCGGTTCTCTCCAGCCATCTGGTAACGGCCAGCAGAACATCTACGGTGACACCTTCTTCAACGCCTTCTACGGTGTCTTCGATGCCAGCGGACCCAGCTTTGGTTTCGCTGCCACCGCATAAGGGGTGGATGTATGGGAGAGACTGATGGGGTTGGGCTTTTGACTTAGTGGAATTGGCTTACCTCCTCGACGGGGGGTATGTTGGGGGCTTGGCTTGGATTGGATTGGATTGAATAATGAGATGATGATGTGGGAGTGTTGTATCCCACTTGTAGTATTCTGCGGCGCAGAATAAACCTTACATACAGTACAGTCCAGTAAATACAAATATTCATGACTGAAACGAAACAAAAGAAGAAACACGACGTGCACCCGAAATTCCGACAATTCGCTTATCCCCACAACCAATTTCGCGATGAGACATTCATTCCTCGTAATCTGCAATCTGACAGCAACACCCGTAAAACAACCCCCCAGCCAAGACACCGGCACCCGCTTCCGACGCACCTCGCAATCCCTGTGGCTTACCCCAAATTCCCCTCCCCTCTCCCCCATCCAAAACCCGCCCGCCCCATCAAAAACGTTTACCATTTAGCATCCGTGTGGGGTAGCCGCCCACCGGCAAAATGCACCTCGCCCCTGTCGCCAACCGGGAGTTAAGGTAATGTAGTAAGTAAGTCAGCGCTGTCAAACGTCCACCGACGACTCGCCAAGGCGCGCAAGGGCAACACTCTCTTCGACGCCACCGGCGTAATGGATTGATTAAACACTATCGGGGACAAGCCACGCGACTTGGCGGGATATGCAGGGACGATGAGGGCGAGACGCGGTAGATGGGGTTCTGTCCGCCTGTTAGCAGAGAGTAGTAGGGTTTAGGCGTGCGAAGGACCGCAGGGCCGGCGGCGTGGAGGCGGAGAAATAGAAGGGTGGGTTTAAGAGGTGGATATGACGGAGGCGCGTGGGCTGGGAGATCTGCCGGGCGGGGCACGCTGCCTCGAAGGTTGAAGAAGGATGTCCAGCGCCTATCCTTTCTTTCTTCGGTCCTGGTTATGGTGGTGGTCACGGATCGAGTTGCCGTGATGTGCTAGCTAGATGGAAGGCGGGGTGTGTAATATAAAAGCAATTTACATCAGCGCCTTGGACGCGTGGGCAACTTGGCAGGAAGATGGGGGCAGTGAAAGGGGAGGAGTATATATATCCTTCGACCAGCCGGGGACGGATGGACGTCAGGTTTATTCGGTGTCATTATCAACTCGCACATCATGAAGTCCACCACGATCATCTCCCTCATCGCCGCGCTCGCCGCCCAGCAAGTCGCCGGCCACGCCACCTTCCAAGATCTCTGGGTTGACGGCGTCGATGAAATAAGTCCCCCCCCCCCCTTTTCAAACACCCAGCTAACACCCACCCCACCAATCCTTCTGCGCCCGCCTCCCCCAATCCAACTCCCCCGTCTCGGACGTAACCTCCAACGACCTCCGCTGCAACGTCGGCGGCGCCACTGGCGTAGCAGGGAAATGTGCTGTGGCTGCCGGCTCAACGGTGACGGTCGAGATGCACCAGCAGCCTGGGGATAGGTCGTGTGCGAATGAGGCGATTGGGGGTGATCATTTTGGGCCGGTGTTGGGGTATCTTTCGAAGGTGGAGGATGCGGCGACGGCGGATGGGTCGGCGGGGTGGTTTAAGATTTATGAGGATTCGTGGGCGCGGGTATGTTTTTCTCTGACTAACTGCCAGCTCCTCCCCTCTGGGCACTCAATCACGGATGTATGTGCATTGATGGCTGACGTATTTGGAAACAGGGCACAGGAAGCAACGGCGCCGCAGACTACTGGGGAACAAAAGACATGAACCTCTGCTGCGGCCGCGTGAACATGAAGATCCCTGCCGACATCCCCGCAGGCGACTACCTCCTCCGCGCCGAAGTGGTGGCTCTGCACGTTGCTGGCTCCCTCGGCGGGGCACAGCTGTATATGAGCTGCTGTATGTCCCCCTTCCTCCCCTTCCTCCCTCTCCTTCCCTTTTCCTTCCCCTTCCATTTCCCTTGTTTCCCCTTCCTCCCCCTCCCCATAAACCCAAGCTAACCCAACCCTCAAGACCAACTTACCATCAGCGGCGGCGGTTCCGCCTCCCCCTCCCTCATCCAACTCCCCGGCGCCTACGCCGCCACCGACCCAGGAATAAAAGTAGACATCTACCAATCCCTCGCCACCTACATCGCGCCCGGCCCAACCGTATACGGCGGCTTCACCAAATCCGCCGGCGCCACCTGCGCTGGCGTCGAGAGCGGTACTGCCACCGGGCCTGCGTATGAAGGTGGTGGGGGAGCGGCGCCGACTACGAATGTTGGTTCTGGACCAACTACTGCTGTTCCTACGACCGCGGCGCCGACGACGATGGCCACGAGTGTTGTTCCTACGACTGGGGGTGCGGCACCGACGAGTACGGCGGCGCCAGGTGGGTGCAAGAGCCCGAAGTATGGACAGTGTGGGGGGCAGGGGTGGACGGGGTGTACGGGGTGTGTGGATGGGTCGACGTGTGAGGCTGTTAGTCCGCCTTATTACTCGCAGTGTACTTGATCTGCTGAAGGTTTTTGGGGTGTAGGAGTGTGGTGGTATGGGGGGAGGATTAGATTGATTAGATGGGAACACGGGGGGGCACGCCGATTCGAGCGGAGAGTCGGCAGGGGGTTGTATGTAGACGCGTTCGTATATATCGCACGAGATCATCTTCATCCTCATTCCTATCTTCATCTGTGATCGATCACAACACCCCTCCTCCATCTCAGACAAACCCTATACCCTTCCCATATCACCCCTCTACCCCATCTCAGACAACACTGATGATAAATCCCACCCCCGTCACCCTCCCATACCTGCTCCGTAATCACACACAAATCCCCACCACCACCGCCGCTGCCTATCATACATGCCGTGCAACGCCCACTCTCCGGGTTACCGCTCTCGCACTGGCGCGATCCGGGTCTCTGGCGTGGGCAGCGGCTGTGCTGCGGTGTTATGTGCGTATGTATGTGTGTGTGTGGGGGGTATGGTGGTGGCGGAGAGCGGGAGGGTGCAGATGCGCGTATGTATGTGTGTATGTATGTATGTATGTGTGTGTTGTTTTGTGTTGCTGTGCTGCCTGGGTAGTCTGGGGATGGGATGAAAAGGGGAGAACGGGGTGTGGTTTGTCTGTCTATCTGTCCGTCTGGATTCGGCGGGATAGGGGAGAAAGGGGAAGGAAGGAAGAAGGAGATCGGATGACTCCCACCACCTAGACCTACCTTTCCACCTCCTCCCTTCCCTCATCAACTCCCTATCCCGTCCCGTCCGTGTGATACTCCCCTCGTAAACAAACAAACCCCCAGCCACCCCAACCAACCGGTGAGATCTCTCGACTCGGTCTCGCCCCCCTCTGGGTTTGTCACCCCTCAGCGCGGCAGGGACACGCAGCCCGAAACATGCGTGTAACCGCCATCACCGTCACGGCCAGATTAGCAAGCAAGCAAGACATTCACCGCATTGTATCGTATCGTCTCGTATCCAGCACCTACCACTACCTACCGCCATCCGCCCACCACCCAAGACCAGAACCCAGCACCCCAGCATCACCAGCATCACCCAGCAGCACCCAGCAGCACCCAGCGCCACCCATCACCAACAAGCATGGCGCAGCACAGCACAGCAGATCAGAGCCTGTCATCCTCCTGTGTCTGTGCAGCAGCCTGCAGCGAGTGCCTGTGGAACGGAGGGATGTAAGACATCTGCAGTGTGACAGCGCCTCCAGCTCATCGGTGCCAGCCAGTCTGGGGAGGGGACACGTGCGATTGGTGAATCGGTGTTTACGAGGTGATATAGAGTGAGCTGCGGATTTGTGATATTGTGATTAGGTGATGCTGTGATGGGCGCACGGAGGACAGCTGGGTGGTCTGGGTGTAAGTGGCGGGCGTGGGTGAGTCAGTGGAGGATGGGACAGAGGCGGTGGAGGGGTTGCAGAGTCAGATCAGTGGATGGATGGAGGGGATGGATATCGTCACAGGTACAGGTAGGTGGGTTGGTGAAGATATCACAGAGGGGAAGGGGGGGAAGGAGAGATGTCACGGGATTGGGAGATGGTGAGGGGGGGAGTGAGACTGTTTGAGATTGGGGGGTTGGGAGGGGACGAGTTAGGAGGGTTAGGAGGGGTGTTTGATGCGGTTCCCAGCGTACAGGAGAGGGTCGACAGTATGTATGGAGCAGTATGTATGGAGTACAGTACGTGTATTTCTTGTGCGAGCAGGAAGGTTTATTGGGATTTCTGAACTGGGTCCATCCAGTGCGAGCTGGGGGGAGACCTTGGGGGATGAATGGGTCGGGGATAGGACGAATGGGACAAATAAGACAATATAAACAGCGATTGGAACGAATCAAATGGGAAACAAAATAAGGAAACAATGGGGTATTAATTGAGACAATACGGACACACGACAGGCTGACATGAAAACAATGATTGAAATGGATTAAATGGGGACAAAATAAGAAACAATGGGCATAATGAGTAACTGCGTTGTCGACTTTTGCACCACAAGGGACAAAATGGTATAGGGACAAATGAGACATGCAGACGAGACATCGGTACTTGTGCATTGTGACATCCTCGGCTGTTGCGCGAATTGTTTGTACGGCGGTGTCCGCTGCAGAATTTTAGGCGGGCGTACACTTTCCCGTGCTTTTCTTGGCGGGCGAGAGAGAGAAGAGAGAGAGTCAAAAACCCATGTGACTTGAACCCTGCTTATGTACCTCTGTCGTAGGCCAAGGTACCTTCTGTCTTATGTCCTTGGCCATGCACTGATGTGTCTCTCCTCTTTCCCTCTTTCCCTCTCTCCTTCTGTCATCATGTCCCTCCTTAAATCCCTCTGGTCCTATTTGTCCCTTTTGTCTCTCATTCTGTCCCTCTTGTGCCCTTCATTCTTGTCTCTGTCCTTTCTTGTATTTCTGTATGGCAGATGCTGATGCAGATTCTATTCTTACATACACTACTCGTATACTATCGTATAATTAAATGGTTCAGATGCTGCGTACTGATTGATATTATTGTATTCAGATGCATTGTATTGGCTTGAACTGTATGTACTGACTTGGCTGTTTGTAATATTACTATTATACTGTATTGTATGTAATATTACTATTAGACCATCACATCACCTCTCTCTACCTTCACCTCCTTCACTCTCCCCCAATTGAACTTATATACTCTCCCTTTCTCTCTCTCTCTCTCTCTAACTCACTCTCACTCTCTCCTTCCTCATTAAATCACTCACGGACTAATTGCTAAAAATACAAGTAACCACTCCGCAAAATATCATGTGGAATCCCAAACCCCAAAAATACAAATTATCAAAACATTAAGGCGCAGTCATAGTCACAGGCAGTGCCCAGACTCTTCCAAGGTGCGGGGTTCCTTTCCCACGAGTGAAAAAAAGCAGCTCGCTCTTCCCTGCCCTGTTTACTGCTTTTATTTCCTTTTCAGCCCTCAGCCCTTTTTTTTTCGCATGCGGCTTTCGGCGCCCAACCTTGACCGCGCTATTTCTTTCTCCGCACGCCTTAACCTTCTGCCTTACACTAGGAACTGACATAGCCATCACAGTCTACTCTACTCCCACCACCCACCACACACCACACATTTCTACCTTCTTACCTTCCTAGCTCCGATCCACGCGGGCAATTACTCCATTGGCCTACCATTACTCGTACATTACCCACCACAGCCTCGGCCATACCACATCACTCTCCACTCAATCACATCAATCAACTACCTCCAACTCCCCCCCAGCTCGCATCGCATCGCCGAGGAGCGCAAGCGCTTGCGAAAAACCCGCTCTCTCCAACCCCAACCACCGACGCCGACGCCGATACCGAAGCAACACAAGAAACGAAAAGACCTCACGAGACAATCCCCGACGCCGCACTCACAACCACCAACAAACCAAACAACCCCCTCGGCCTCGCCAATGCGATGCCCGCATGCACGTCTGACCTCGCCACCACATCCCCGACCACTCCTCCCCACGCGCACGCGCAGCTCGACACGCCCCGCGCCTGCACGCGGGTAGCTGCAGCAGCATCACAGCCAGCCAGGCAGAGGCAAGCAACGCACACGGCGGCGGTACGACAGCGACGACGGACGACGCGCGTGACGGGTCCGGGTCCAGCGACCGCACGAGAGCAGGGAATCTGAGAGGCTGAGAGCCGAGAGAGAGAGCAGGGCCGAGAAAAGGGCACGGCGGAATTGCGAACGGATAGGACGGACGGGCTTACGAGCTGTACGAGCAGAGTGTAGACGTGGCCGGCACGCTCACACACGAAGGAGGCGCATACAGAGGCTTATGCTGCGTAACCCTGTCTGAACGACACGGGCCAAGCGAGACGAGACGGACGAGACGAGAGGAGACGGTCAGCGAAAGGCCGCGGCAACGTGTTGGACGCGGGCCAGGACCGGCTGGGTGCAGCGCACGAGCTTCAGCTACACTGCGCGGTGTACGACGAGTGAAATTTATTTTTCGCGAAAGGTGTCTGTCTGCTGCCACGGCACGAGACGGCTCGGGAAGAGGATAGGCGCACGACGGTTTCTCCGGAGACGGCGTAGAGAAGTGGACGTACTGATTGCCCTTGCGTTGTGGGGTGTGACGATTTTTTTGTTTCGGCGCTGAGAAGGGAAAAGGGAGAATTGGGGTGTGATTTAAGACATTGGATACCCGGCGACAGGACGATAGCTACGGAGTAGCGACAAGACGTGAAGATGCCGGGACATGAGAGCGAGATTGTGGACGATTCGTCTGATGTCGCGTCTGAGAATGAGTATGATGCGAGAGAGGAGCATGATGAGGGAGCGGCGGAGGGTGCGGCGCAGAATGGAGTTGGTGAGGGGAGGGAAACCAAGAAGCCGAAATTGGATCCCAAGGATCCGTTGAGGCCGAGGAGGAAGAAGGCGAGGAGGGCATGTTTTGCATGTCAGAGAGCACATCTTACTTGTGGTATGTTTTCCCATGTGATAGATAATTTTGCCTGTGTGGTCGAATCTCCTTGCAGTCCAATTGTCTCGGATAGCTGCCTATTACTATGGGTAGATGATTTTCCTACGATAAAACTAACTTTCAATAGGCGACGAGAGACCGTGTCAACGCTGTATCAAGCGCAATCTCGCAGATGCATGCCAAGACGGCGTCAGGAAGAAGGCAAAATACCTTCACGATGCTCCGCCAGAGGCACTACGACCAGTGCTTGGCCCTAACTACAACGCCGGGCGCAATGGGCGAACACCGAGCCAGGCGCCAACTACTGCGGCGTCTGATTCTTCACCTGGTGTAGGCGGATTCTTCCCGCAAGTCACCACATCGCCGACGTACACTATGCCATTCCAGCAGATCCGCCACCCGCAAATGGCGCCTCCGATGCCAGACGCGATGCCGTTCATGACGAACCCCTCGCCTCTCTCCCCCAGCTTCGCCGGAAACCAGCAGCTCCAAGGCCTAGGCAACTCCATGACCCCCGCCAAAATCGAGATGCAAGAAACCAACCCCTTCGCAAACGCGCTCTTCGACCCTAGCAACCCCGCGCTCTTCAACTTCGACCTCGATTCCCTCAACTTCGGCAACCACTACGGCGCCATGGAATTCAGCATGCTGAACCACATGTCCTCCGGCGCCGCCGAGACGCCTCCCCAAGACCAACCAGGCTCCTCCCACGGCGGCTCCTTCGACGCAGGAAACATGTACAACAACGCCACCGTGCAGTATAACCAGCTCTACCCCCAGCAGCGCGACGCCATGCTCTCCGACTACGGCAGTCTCACGCGCCAGGACTCGAGCGGGAACATCTACAACCTCCCCGCATCACACCACCTCCCGCGTGCCTTCGCCATCGAAACCGGGCCCATGAGCAACGCGAGTCCGAGCACCGACGCGAACGCGTCACCGCAGCAATCTTCCCTGATCTTCGATACGAGCCCAAAAACCGCGTTCACGCAATCTGCTACCCCCCGGACTGCTAAGCGAGATGCGCCGCAGAAGCCAGTGCCGAAATTCCAGAGCGTTATGGCGCCGACGAAACGCGGGAGAGATCCGTCATCTATATACACCTCCGTCACAGAGCCGTACTCCTACACCACCGGCTTCCACGCCCTCACGGCCTTCATCCAGCGCCGCTTCTCCGCCAACGCGACCCTTCGCATCGCCAAGTCGCTCGGCTCCATTCGTCCGTCATTCATCAGCTGCACGAAGACGCTGAATCGCGAGGATCTCATCTTCATGGAGAAGTGCTTCCAGCGCACGCTCTTCGAGTACGAGGATTTCATGCGCGATTGCTCCACCCCGACCCTCGTGTGTAGGCGCAGTGGAGAGGTGGCGGCGGTGAATAAGGAGTTTAGCCTCCTCACGGGGTGGGGGAAGAATGTCCTGATGGGGAGGGAGAAGAATGAGAATGTCAACCGTGGACATTCTGGGGATGCGAGTGCGGGGAGCTCCCAGGGGGGACGAAGCGGGATGGCGACGCCGAGGGCGACGAGGCCGGCGGCGATGGATGTACAGCCTGGTCGGCCGACGTATGTGCTGCTCGCTGAGCTGATGGATGATGATTCTGTCGTAGAATTCTATGAAGATTTCGCGCGACTGGCGTTTGGAGACTCGAGAGGGAGCGTGAGGAGGAAGTGTAAGTTGTTGAAGTATCAGACGAAGGAGGGGGGGGAGGGGGTGGGTAGCGGGGAGGGGCCGAGGGAGGAGAGGCCCGTGGGGGAGAGGGTTAGTAGGATTGATGGGGAGTGGGGGATTGGGAGGCTGGAGAAGGATGGGAAGCTGGATTGCAGTTATTGTTGGACGGTTAAGAGGGATGTGTTTGATATCCCTATGTTGATTGTTATGAACGTGAGTATTCCCCTCTTTCACACACACGCGCGGAGGGCAAAGCTAACATATCGCAGTTCCTCCCATGCATCTAATCCACCTCACCACCACAACAACCACTACCCCCACGCTCACCAACACACCCCCGGCACGCATCACACCCACCCGTGCTTCACCTCCGGCCCGGCCCGCTCAGAAAGCGGGAATCCGCATAGTCGCACCTGACGACGACACCGGCCATCAGCATAATAAAAGCTGCACGCACGCAGCACAGCGCAGCGCTACGCATATAAGTAGCGCGCAGCGTGTGGGGGGTGGGGTGGGGAGTAGGGCCGTGGCACGCGAATATGCGGCCTCGCGAGGCGGCCATGGCGTGCGCGAATTCGCGGGCGATATATAGAGACGACTGCCGCGATCGCGGTCTATACACAGCATTGCGCCGCATTTTGCATTACTTGTCTTTCGTTGGTTTTCTTTTCGAAGTTTTCTTGTTTCTTTGGTAATTATAAGGATGCATTGGAAGTGGGAGAAGAGATAAATGTAATTGGAATTGGCATTAGGAATTAGGTATCTTGGGGTCTTGGGTGGGGGATGGAAACATGGTTCATCTCTCCCTCTACTACTATATCCACTCTCGTTATAACGGGGTGGCAGGAGGGAGGGAGGTGGAAGGTTATTTAAAAGTTTGGGGGTATAACATCATTGGCTCTCTACGCTGGGAGGGACGACGGGTGGACAGACACGGGACGGGGGAATTCAAGATAGTCGAGGGCGAGAGAGACGAGAAGAACTAGTACAGGACGAGGAAGGATAGGGTGGTGATTAGTGTATGGAATCAATTACATTCTAGAACGATCTAACCCCATTCCCCACCATCGACCCAGTTGTATCATTTTCCCCTTCCCTTCCCTTCGCTGACACCCATACCCATACCCTCATTCACCCTCACTCCTCCTCCCCCCACAACCACCCATCCGCCCTCCTCTTCCTCCACTCCTCCCTATCCAGACTGCGCTCCGCAACCGCCATATCCTCCCTAATATCCTTGACCAAGCTCTCCTTATCGACGTAATCGTATTCCGGACGGATGTAGCCCAGGATGCTGAGGGCCATTTGGGTGCCGTAGAAGTCGGCGGGGAAGGGGTGCATTATGTGGACTTCCTGCTCTTGTTGTCAATACTTGTTTTCGGAATGATGAGTGGGAGGGGGTTGAGGGGACGGCGGAATGGGGGGGGAGACAGGGGGGACAAACAGCAGACCGCACGGTATTCCCATAAAACGGGTTATACCCAATCGACATCACCATCGGGAAAACCCTCCACCCCTCTTTTTGTTTCTCCTCCGGCACGAACTCCGCAGCGTCCTTATCGGCCTCCTTATCGTTCGCAGGGTGCGAGGGGTGCGAGGAGGAGAGCTGGAGAGACGCCCACCCGAAGTAGACACCTGACTCAGCGGTCGCGATCCAGGCGGCGGAGGTGACGGGGAGGTTGGCGGTGGGGATGCCGAGCTTGGTTGGGGGTTAGTTTTTTGCGGGGTAAGGGGGAGGAGAGGAGGGGAGGAGGGGAGGGAGAGGGGGGGGGGAGAGGACGAACTTCTTTAGAACCCCGTCCGAAACCCTTTTCGACTGCGCCGCGCATGCGGAGGGGAAAGGGAGCTTCAGGTCCCGAGGCGGGGCCGATTATGGAGGCGCGGGGTTCTTTGGTTGAGGGTGGCATTTTGGCAGGTATCTAGGGGTCGCTTTGGGAGGTGGGTATGGGGGGTATAAGAGGGGAGCTGGGAGCTGGAGAGAGGTGAGGTGGAGGAGTGGATTGTTAATCAGTGCTGTTGTTATCGTGGGGTGAGTGAGTGTGGAGGGGTCTAGCGCGAGGCTGGGGGTGGGACGGGCGGACGGGGTGGAGTTGGGGTCCGGGTGCCGACGAGGCTGCGATTTTGTGTTAATTAAGCCTTCTATGGCAACGGCGATCTGTGATGTAGTGTAGATAGACATATATATTTATTTTCACTTGAAAAACTGGGCGTGTATAATAATACTGGATTACAATGTCTTGGCCCTGCGTGCGCGTCATAAGTGCTATTTCTGTACCAGAATGGAGATATATAAAAGGAACGATGTAGTACGAAACTAGGGAATCAGTTTTCAAAACATAAAGCTCGATTTTGCATGTGCATCAGCTGGACAGTCAATGGAGGTAATGGGCGGAACAATGTAATTGGGATGTGCAAAGCTTTTTAAACAATCCAGATATTTCTCGAGTGGTTGATGAGAAGGCGCATCAGTGAGAAGTATCGGTGACAAACGGCACCGATGAGAAGATGGCATTGGTGGCAAGACGGTATCGATGACAAGACAGCATCGGTGAGAGACTAGTACCGTCAAGAATACATAGTCAGTGGGAAAATAGCATCGGAAATAATACAGCCTTGGCACATGTTTCTCTGCATTTTTTTTACAGCTGATTTTCTCATCGCCCACGTCACTGCGAACTTGGGAAGCTTTGATTTCTTTTTGTTAACTCAACGTCTTTACTTCAAGGTCCTTATAAAGTAAGAAGACTATGTTTATTTTCGGCACGATCATCGTTCGTTAGTTAATAATACCTATTTACTCAATCTCGCTCGCTGTTGGAACCCCTGCCATGCAAATATCTACAAAATGGAGGCAGTGAGGTGTGCCTTGATTTTTCCATGGGTTGTTATTTTTGTGGTTTTTTTTGGATACTGTCGCTTGGAAGCTTTGGAAGGGGCTGGGAAGCTGTGTTCGCTGCAGGGACTACGGTGAGACTTGCACCACGAGTATTCACCGTGGGAACAACTTTAAAAGTCAAGGACTTCTACATATATATAAAACGCTCCTCGGTGTTATCTCACACTTGAACGGGTTCGGCACGCTCAGGAAGCTGCGCACTATGCGCGTATCCGGCTCAATCCACTTCCTGTATTCGTCCGTCTTCTTCTGTAAATTGAAACCCCACAGTGTGCGCACGATGTTGATGTACAGCCACTCAGAGACCACTGACCATGAACTCTGACCATAAACTATTGTACATTTCGAGAAGTACTGCTCCTATAAAAGTATAATAGTAGTCTAGATAATATTACCGTATCCAAATATTGCCTTAAATACACACTTCTCATTCATGAGCTATTAAGAAAAAGCGCAATATGCCACACAAAGGACTATGGGTAAATGAGGATGCAACTCAGGAGGTCAAAGATGTGCCTGGGTACTACAAGGTCGTAGCTGGTGATCTGCTACTGAAAACCATTTGTGTTGCAGTAAATCCAGGAGATTATGGGTTGGTTCCTCTAGATATCTCTGTTCCTCCTCAACGCTTCCATTGAAAAAGATTGCCAAGAACAATTCTCATTCGGTGCTTCTGATAGGGATACTGAGAAATTTGGCGCCATTAATACGATTGGGGGTTTTGACGCAGTTGGCGAGATCGTAGAGGTTGGCGATGGGGTTACAGGGTTCAAAGTTGGACACAAGGTTCTCACCTTTACGAGGGGAATCGGACCTGGTGACGTGCCGAACCATCCCTCTCGCTGTACATCACTAACACGAAAGTCTAGCCAAATATGGAGCGTCTCAAGAGTACTTTCTTGCCTTAGCTGCTTCCTCTTGGCTTTTCGATGAAAAGCGCATAAGTGAGGAGCGAAGCCTTTTCGAGACTGAATCTGTATTGCAGTATCTAGCGATCACACTCTGCTATCATATTTCCAGTTTCTCATTTTCCGTTTTCGCTTCCACGTGACACTCATGCTTCTTACTTGGACAATTTGACGTAATTGTAGACTCATTTTGATAGCGTCCCTGACTAACTGCCACTATAACAGATCAGGAGATATATTAATATAAGTGGCATGACATTTAGCATGTAGTTCGTCTGACTCTGAATTATAATATATTACCCTGTCCCAAAGCAGTCACAGCTACACAGGCAACTATGGCGTCCCCACCAGCATCCCATTTCCAAACCGGGAAGACAGACACACGAGCGCTTTTAAAGCAGTTACCCGTCGAGATTATCAAGTCGATAGCTACCTTCCTCCCTCTCTCAGCCGCCGTCTCGTTTACTTTGACCTGTCGTTCGGTCTGGTTTATTCTGGGGAGCCAGTACCTTGATCGGCTTCGGGAAGATCAGCAAGATGGACTCGATAGACCAGTTTTCCTGGATATCCTACAGAGAGATCTACCACGGCACATCCTGTGCCTTGATTGTGAGATTCTCCATAGTCGAGCACAGCAAGTAAATAGTCGATCACCATGCACGATGGCAGATTGTGCATCATCTGTCCATTGGCATATATGCAGAGGATTCACCTCTGTCACATTTTTCTTGGTTATGAAGCTGTATCGTAGCGGCCTTGACTACGGCAAGCTACTATCTTCACTATCTAGATTCTACAGTTTTCCAAGACGCAGTGTTTCCGACACTAAGCATGTGAACCACGAGGAGTTTACCCCCCGAATTACAGACGGCAGGTTTTTACTACGCCATCAAATCTGGCTCCTTCTCCCGGTTGGGAAGAAGGTAGAGGTCCCTAAAAAAGTCTATGCAAACATTTGTCCACACTGGCATTTTGTAGTGCCGTATGGACAATCGATAGAATTAAGGAGGAGGTTGACATGTCGAGCAAGCCATTGGAACAATCCACAGCTCAACTGCCTAACTTGCGCGGGCCTGTTCCAATGCGACACCTGCCCAACTGAGATCCAGATTGACGCCATGGACTTTTTTGGTCATGGCGTAGCGTTGATAATAACGTGTTGGTTGGACTTGGGCGAGGGCCGGAACCCGCTAGACATCAAATATAGAAGTCATGTACATGGTTATTGGGGCGATCCAGTACCATTTGACGCAGGATCTATTAAAGCTACATATGAGGGAGGAGATATTGATATTATACAGCTGCTGACACCGAAATATAAAGCAGAAATGTTTAAAAGTGCGCTGATATAATGAGGTATACGGTCGTTCCTTCCCCCTTTTTAAGTGTCTCGCCATGCATTCAAAACCCAACTATGTGGTCTGAAGAAGTTGAAGAAGACAAACAAAGAGGACGAACAGCTTACTTTACTACACATACATTAACAATGACTACAACAATTAAGCCAACACCTACCGAATCGCAGGCGCCAAGTCTAGAGTGGCAGTATGCTGCTCTTATCATCGGGATAATTGTCCACATAGGGATCATGTTTGGATCCTCAACTGCGTTTATCCGGAGATGGTTCGCGGGTACATGGGCGGCAGACTTGCTTACTCCGCCAGTAGTAACTGCAGAGAGAGCAGCTGCGACTACGGAGGCAGCGGCAGTGGTGGCCGAACGGAGAGATGCGGGGACGGAGAGAGGAGCTGCGGCAGCCGAACGAGGAGCTGCGGCAGCCGAACGAGGAGCAGCAGCCGGCGAGCGGGAGAGGGCGGCCAACGAGTGGGGAGCAGCGGCCAGTGAGCGGGGGAGGGCGGCCAACGAGCGGGGAGCAGCGGCCAGCGAGCGGGGGAGGGCGGCGGCCGAACGGGGAGCGGCGGCGAGTGAGCGGGGAGCGGCGGCGAGCGAGCGGGGGAGAGCCGAAGTAGAACGCAGAGAAGCCCAATCTGCACGCGCAGCCGTTGATATTGAAATCAAAGCGACCCGAGAGCATCAGAGGATGACCGACGCGTTCTGGAAAGCATACGCCACCACCCAACAGGACATTCTTACTCAACAAAAATATACCAACACCCTGCTCCTGAATTTGCTACACATTGTCAGCAGGGGGCGAAAAGATGGGCCAGGAGGGAGCGGCACGGGGGATAGAGGGAGTGGCACGGGGGGGGATTCTTCTGAGGCGGACTTAGACTGAGGTGGTCGGGGGTGAACTGGGGTCGAGTGTCAAGTATGTTTAACAATGGGGACGACATCATCGATATGGGGCGAGTGTGTATATATTAAACTTGAGAATCGTTTTTCAGTCATTCTTCAAGCATATTCCATATCCGAAACCTCTTTCCGTTGAAACGTGAAATGTGTTGAGGGCCGGGGGATCGGTCATGGCTGTGGCGGGTGTCCAAGATTGTGAGTCCCTTTCCGTGTTTGATAATGGGTTACTAACAGCGAAAGCTCTAACCACTCGCGCCCGTTACTTATGGAGTCGCACGGTGGAAAGGCTTGCGAAAGCCCTTCGACGGCCTTTCCACCGTGCGACTCCATAAGTAGAATCGCGATGAGATAAGTAATATTAGTAGATGAGATGCAGGTTAAAAACGTTGTCATTGTTCAGAATAACTATCTATGACACTCGGCCCATCTCTCCCTCGGCTCATCGTACTCGCGGACGAGATCGACGATGCGGCGGTGGACGTTTCCCGGTTCCTCTGCCGCCACATTGTCGATCTCCCCTACTTCTCCTCCTCCTCCCCCTCCTCCTCCCCCTCCTCCTCTCCCATGACAATGATGTTCTGCCTAATCACCCCGCCCGACCTGCTCACTCTCCTCTTGTGGCCCTGCTCCTTCTGACTATCCTTCTTCCTTTTCTTCTCTTTGGATCCCGGGAGACTCTGGCCGCCCCCAGACGTCTTGCGCGGTGTCTGGGCGAATCCGGAGTTATTGAATACCGACGGCATGGGCTTCATGGGCGCACGGTTTCCACCGCCAAAGTTGTAGCGCAGTGGGACGGCGATCCCAGCCAGCCGAGTCTTCCATGGCTCCTGGTCTGGCATTTCCTCCCATTCCCTGTTCATAATAAAGGCGGGCTGGTTCCCCCCCTTGATCTTCCCCGTGGCTGGGTCCCGCGCGCCTCTCTGCAGGGAGAAGGACTTCTCAACCGCCGCAACCAAGCATGCTGCAATCCATTCGTGCAGGGTCACCATCCTGGGAGTGTCGGCGCACGAGATTTCGTCAAAATCGACGCTCTCCCACAATGGGGCCACGAACCATCTTACTGCATCCGGGTCTTCGTGCACAAACCTCTCCCAGGTCCTCATCCTCTCTTCCTTCTCCTTCTCCTCCTCCTTGCCCTCGGCTGCCCCTGACTGCACCGGGTAATCTGGCCTATTTTTCCATCTGGGGATAATTTTATCCGCCAGTGCAGTTGTGAGCATGGCCCGGTGCAGCTCTGCTCGGATCCCCTTCAAGTTTCTTTCCCAGGTCTTGGCGTCGAACACCTGCAGGACAATCTCCATTGGGAGGCATCCTTCGATCTCCTCTTGTCGGCAATCATGGGTTGTCAAGTAAATTACCTTGGCCAACTTTTTGGCGTATTGCGATATGAGTCTCTGGGCGTTCTTCTGGTCGAGAGGATTGAATGGTTCGAATTTGAAGTTTGGGAAGTCCCAAATCTCCCCGTTTGTAATCGCTCGAATGTTTGTAAGACTGTACATGATGTAAATGAATTGGATTGGATTTTTTTTCTTTAGAGGTGGTGCTATTCTGTGAATATTGGTATGCACTGGTCCCTATCCAAAGACAAATTCACTTAAGTGATAAATTCACCCGCTTAGACCCCCCCTCCAGCCCACCCACAACAACCCCCGCTTACAACTTCTACTCGTAATAATTGTCCACAACACAACAACCTCTGTCCGCAATATTCCAGAAGCCCTCACTGCCCCAAATCACCCAAACACGTCTAAGGTAAGCTATATATATTGTTTTTATTAGATGTTCTATACTTACGAGTTCAAACATAGATGGCGACTCCTCCCAACTCCCCATTGAAAGTGATCGAATCGAGACAGGAACCAGAACTCGACAAGAATGCCGTATTTGCCTCCAAGGAACTGTTCGATAAAACAGCCACGAGGCTCCAAGCATCGAAGAAAGCAGGGGTGTGGTCCGATCCAAAGATTGACGGAAGCCTCGCAGTGAACCTGGTAAGATAATGTCTCCATTGCCAACTAAACTACATACTAACATCAAACAGAACAACGAGCTGGATATTCCCACCTACATCCCCATGGCCCACTATATCGCAGGAAACTGGCTCGGCAATGGAGAAGAAGCGGCAGCCCCGGTGGAGCCGAACGTGAGCATCGCGGTGCCAGCGACCAGCCTCAAGCTTGCGAAAGCGATCGAGTTAATGCACCATTCGATGCCCGCCAGTGAAATCCGCAATTGCTTCCCGAAGCATGTTACTAAGTTTGGCAAGAGGGATACTGTGTTTGCGTTCTACGAGACTAAGCTAAAGGAGCACGCATCCGCAATCACCCGTGCGACGTTAGAGCGTGGGTTCCTCCTGTCTTGCTCTGTCATTGACATCGCGATGAACTCCGGAGATTTTTTTCAGCAGATGCAACACGAAGATGAGCTGCACCGCATCAGTACTATCAATCAGTACATTCGGCCGGAGCACATTCACTTCATGTTCTCTGACCAATTTAAGGCGGTCTCTTACAACTTTGTGTTCCATAATGCTGTACGCGCCAACCTGCAGGAAGAGGAATTGCGGATAGACCTCCGTAAATATCTTAGATTTACGACCTGTCATATCATATATGACTTCCTCCGATTTGTTATCTCTGTGAAGGAAGGAGACGACAAGGATTTCATTGATAAGAACGGGATTGGGCGTATGTTCGTGCGAAATAATTACTATATTATGCCTGGTGGAGGGCCAGCTGGTGAGGTTTCCAAGAACTTGAAACGACTTCCGGCAGCCGACGGTTTCGACACACACTCTCGAACGAGATCAATTGGTGGGACCACCACTGTCAAGAAGACAGGATGGGACGCATCTAATTACGCCTGATAGACTTATGGAGTCGCCCGGTGGAAGGACCTACAAAGGGCTTTTGTCAGCCCTTCCACCGGGTGACTCCATAAGTCGGCTGTGTAGATTGCGTTGTGTTTTGCGCTGGGTGTAGGGGGAGGGTTGCTTGCGCGCCAGGGATATTGCTAGAGAACGTTGACAAAAAAAAATGTTTTCATTATGCGAAATTATTCCTGCAATGTGTGAATGTCTACTGTCAAAAGCAAACTCGCAAATGAAGACCACGAGCTTGCCGAGGAAGAGGAGAAGCGGGATGTTCTATGGGCCAAGATTAGCACAGCAGCCCTAGAGGCCCAGCGACTGGCAGAGTCGGAGAGTGATGTGCTCAAGCGGATGAGAGAGGCGTTTTTGTAGTTTTATTTGTCCGAGTTATTCAATCTCGCTGCCCGAGCTGTCCACAAGCGGTGCATGATGTGAGATTGAATAACTTTTCTGTGTGAAGCCGTCTTGACAAAGGTGTCGCCTCCGGTCCCACCCAATTGACGACTCCATAAGTCCATATCAATACACAATTTGCAAATCACATATTACGTATATCGTACCTGTATTGTTCTACGGACAGTCGTAAGCCACATAGCCATTCCCATTGTAGTCGCCCCCCACGCCATCATCACTGTCTTCCCCCTTCGCGCTCGATGCGGTCCAGCTCCCCCTGCACCTGCAACATCTCGTTCGAGAGGGTCGCTGTGCGCTCCTTCATACAATCGAGTATCAATCTCAGGTGTCGAATCGACCACTAGAGACCCTCGATCTATCCTTGGAGTCAGAAATGAACCATATACGAATGTATGTGAAGGGCATTACCTCAATCAATATAGCCTTGGTATGCTGCCTAAGCTCGATGTTTGCTATAAAATGTTAGATTGAGTTCGTATCAATGTGTTTGTCATACATACCTGGCTGCTCGGGAACGGTGATAAAACCGACGTGTACACGCATAGTATCAATCGAATCTTAGGCCCTTGCTGTGGTAATTGCGATATCGGGGTACAGGGGCAATTCCAGATCCGCCAACATCTTCTGCACATGCGCATTCTATATCAAATGTCAGCATGCGTACTTGGCTGGGTTTCGCGGTCGTTACATGGATGTTTGCGTCAGCAGTCGACGACTCCTCGGGTTGATCTGTAGATTGTTATTTCATGTTGCCACACAGACTATGGCAATTTCACTTACCCATGGTGAGGCGACTGAACACATCAGCTGCGTCGTTGGGGGTGGACATTGCTTTGTTGTCGTATGGTTTGTGGGTTCTTGTGTAAAGTTGAGACGTTTGTGAGGTTGACAACTTTGATAGCCAAAGTATTCCCAGCAAGCGGCGGTCTATAATTCAGGCCAATCGCAGAATTACTATAAGATGAAAAATATTAATTATTTCATTTACAATGAGAATGCCAATCTTTAACTTCGACGCTACGGTATTATCTACTCTCTCGAGTATAATCTTTGAATATTCAAGTGATAAAATATGAGTCTACTATAATCAGCCACTCACTCGCCAACACTTTAGTTATCCTCGCTGTGTAGTATTCATATTATTCTCATAAATATAGATCAAGGCGTCGTCAGGGATCTACAGGTATGCGGGGTACTCAGGGGTGCGCCATCCAAATTATCCACAGGCACAAAAATGGCTTCGCTGGGACTTGTCCCCATTTTGCTGCACGTTCCCTGAAAGTCCACGCGAAGCTATTTTTGACGTCACGGGGACTTGTGCTGTACTTGCACATTTTTGGTGTAGATTCCCAAAAGTCTTCGCGAAGCCAAAAGTAGTGGCGCGGATACTTATAAGTAGCTTTTCATACTGAGACGGTTTCGCTGATACCTCTTGTCGTTTTGGTCCCTCAAAGTATCCGCAAAGCCAAAATGGCGTCGCGGGGACTTGCGCTATACCTAGTTAATTTATGCGGGCGACCGAGAAGTCCCTGCGAAGCCATTTATAGCAGTAGGGATACTTGTAAGTTGTTTTCAATATGATAATGGCTTCGCTAATACATCCATCAATTTTGCGTGTGGTTCCTTAGATGTTCCTGCGAGGCTATTTTTAGCCTCGTAGGGGCTTTCTATATACAGTATAAATACATCCTCATTTACTCTAGCTAGAAACTACAGAACACACCTTATAGTTTAACCTTTAGATCTATGCCTTAATCTACTAGAGAGTTATCTATTCATTTAGACCTTAACAACAACATCTATGAAATTTAAGAGAACAAGCTTTTTAGCTTAGCTTAGTCTTAATGTTCTCTTTACTACTATAGCTGTTTTATCTACTTATACACCTAGTTAAAGACATATAATAACTATTTAGATTTTTATAGGTTTTCTTATAGGCATTTTAGCCTTATAAACACTTTTAATAATATTTCTAGATAATTGTTAATAGGTTATAGCTTACTAGGTTAGAATTCTCTTAGAATTACTAGTAGGCTAGGTAAGTATATACTTGTTATTAAAACACTAAGATATAAAAGGCTACTCTTTTAAGATCTAGTAAAAGCTTACTCCCTCTTATAAAAAACAACTACTAATATAAGTTATTTACTTAGGATTATATAGTTTCTTAGCTACCTTACTACTTATAGTGTCTTTATTTAGCATTATTTAAACGTTTCTAAGAATTAGGCATATGTTAGTTCTATATAGAGTATTAGGATAATAGTATTAATAATAATTCCTAAACTAATTTACCTATTTACCTTTATATAGATAGGTATATAAAAAAAGAAAATATTATAAGGATAGTAAAGATAGCCTAGGAAAGCTTTAGTATAGTTTATATTATAGTTAGTATTTATAAGTTACTTATAATTTATTTTAAGCTAATACTAATAAAGTATAAATTAGGCCTCTTACTTTAGATAATATCTCTTTATATTAGCTATTATATATAGTATAGAGCCCTAAGGTTATTATCATTTTATCTTCTAATCTATTTTAACTATCTACTCCTTACTAACTTATAATGTTCTATACTCTATATATATAACCTATATAAGAATGTCTCCTTACTTATAGTATAAGGATACCTCCTTACTTAGGTTAGTTATAGCTATTATATAGTACTATTAAAACTTAGGGCTATTATAGGTTAGTTATAATTAATAGCCTTAGGTATATAGTATAACACTAGGTCTTAAACTATAAGACTTATAGAGGTTTTATTACGTTAGTTTACTTAATAGAGAAGGTAGGGGATTAGATATAAAGGCTTCTATAAAATACTATATTAAGTTAAGCATAAAGCTTCTATTTAAGAACTATCTATCTACTTATATAAAGGTATTATACTAAAGGGAATAGTTAGAATAGTAAACTCTATTACTATTCTTACTATTCCTACTATTCTATTATATAAGGATCTTATAAGGAGGTGCCTATAAATAGTCTAGTACCTACTCTATCTAGTACCTAGTAATAGTTAGGTACTTAGAAAGAGTCTAGTACCTACACTATCTAGTACTTAGTAATCCTTAAGTACTTAGGAATTCTCTAGTACCTATAGAAGTAAGTACTTAAGAAAACTCTATTACCTAATGTTAACCTTACCTTAAGGGCAGCTAAACTACTAACATGTTTATTACTACTATAACTAGTATATTAGTAAAAGTATAGCTATAATGCTAGCTATAATATATAGTATAAGGAAGCCTTAGGTAAATAGGGAGTTAGCTAAGTTAGAGTAGTTTTAGATATTTAAGGGAAGAGCTATAGTGTAACGCTAGGTCTTAAACTATAAGACTTATAGAGGTTTCGTTACGTTAGTTTACTTAACAGAGGAGGTAGGGGATTAGACACTAAAGACTTTTATAAAACACGTTATAGTATATAACAAATACTATATTAAGTTGAGCACGAAGCTCCTATCTAAGAACTATCTATCTACTTATATAGTAGTATCGTGCTAAAGGGAATAGTTAGAATAGTAGACTCTCTAACTATTCTTACTATTCCTACTAATCTAATCACGTGTACGTCCTATAAGAGGTGCTATACTTATTGTAGGTACCGATTCCTATAGGTGCCCTTCTAAGGAGGCACCTTACTCTACATAGGTGCCTTTCCTAATAGGCACCTTTCTTTTGCTAGGTACCTTCTAAGAAAGGTACCTTTTCCTAAAGGTACCCTCATTAACTAAGCTACCTACAATCTCTACATCCATTTCCTACTACTAATTAGCTACAAGCTATTTTACCTTATTATTCTATCTTATAGCATATAGGTTACATGTTTTAGCTATAACACTAGGTCCCCTCCCTTAAGGCCTAGTCCTATAGGCCATTGCTAACTAAGAATCTACTAGCCTACTTAAGCGTAGTAGGTCCCCTATATTCATAGGGTAGGTAAGGCCACGACTATGTCTTCCTCTAAACACTTAAAAATTAAAGAACGTAAATGTAAGGACATAGGGCACCGTATCATAAGAAGTTGTATATAGGAGTGTAAGTTGGATAGAAGTTAGTGCAATCCTATAGGTCTACTACAAAGGATACAAAAAAGATAAAGGGGGAACCCTCCGTTCCTGTTTCCTTCTATACCTAGAACTCCTCTAACACAACTAACCCCCTATTTACCTAAGGCTTCCTTACGCTGTGTGCCTAAGGCTCGCAGTTGCAATTGAACTATAACTGCCCTAAGTCTTAGGGGCAGCACGTAACGACTGTAACTAACCTAAGTAAGGAGGCATCCTTCTTACACTACCCCCTGCCTTTAGAGGGTGCTTTGTCCTTAATGCACGAAGTTCTATCAAATAGCCACTTCCTATTGCTTATCTAGTTCTAGGTTAGGGTCGTTGTGGTCACAGTACCTAACTGTAGCATTAAGTAGGCTAGTTGCTCGAGGGCGCTTAAGGGTTGGCTTAGGGAAGAACAAAGGCTTCGTAGTCGTAGCAGATACTCCTTAGAAGGGATTTAGAGTCGCTGCCTCTATAGAATCTAGAGGCTGTGTAACTGTAGTTGCAGTCTATTTAGTAGGAACGCAAGGAGGATCTAGCTCATTGTTCTAGTGCTGCTCCTAATTGAAGGCAGTGAGTTCTTAGACTATAGTGTAGTAGTCTCCCTTCTATTAACTTTTGATAACTGCTACGTAGCTATGGAATTAAGGGGTTAACTTGTTCTACATGTACTAAAACCATTCTAAGTAGGCTACTTGTCCTATAATAGCTACACCCTAGAAACGTACTTTAAATTTAGGGAAGGTCTTATCTATATGTCCCTTCTCTCCTATATATAGGTCGTTAAAGAGGTTCTAAGCCTGCTCCGTCTTGTTTCTAGTAAGGTAGTATAAGCCTAGAAGGTCCATTATCTCATCTGCACTCTAGAACCCATGCGTAGCGGATAGGTATTGTGGCTCTAAGTAGGTTTTTACAAGGCTAGTTGTAGTTCCCTAAATCAACGCTCTTCTAGAGAAGTCGGTAGGGTAGTAGTCCTTATTAACTATAAGACGGTCCTAAATCGACGCGCTCCATTGTAGGAAGGTGTGTTCTATCCCATCGCTAAGCGGAGTAATCCTCTTAGAGATTATAGATTTCTTGTAGTAGTTTAGAGGGTCTTTAGTAGGTATTCGCAGCAGCCTTGAAATTAATAGAGAGCGAGTGTTCTAAAGAGGCGGCAGTTAAACTGTCTTAGGGGTGTTTTGTATAGGAGATCGCTCTGTAGGTATAGGGGTGTCCTCTAGTGTAGGTAGGGTTCTTGTCTAACTTGCCACTAGAGTTGTAAGTAGCTCCTTAATCTCTAGCATCTAGGTCTTAAGGACTACCATTCAGTTTAGTATGTCCTTAGTAGGTAGAGCAGTTTAGGCAATAGCTACTGTCTGTCTTGTAGCTCTAGACAGTTAGCCATCATTGTTAAGTGTAGTAGGTGTCGAGTTCTTCAACATAATGGTTTAGAGGTGTATTAAGTTGTAGTTGATATAGAAGAGAAGAGTTTGATTTCTAGGTAGCTTGTAGCCATTAACACTCTTGTTTACATATTCCTCTATGCGTAAGGGGGTTCTTAAGGATCTTGTATCCTATTTAGCGCTAACGCGTCAGCAACTTTACTAGCTTGCTCTATAGGATCAAACCCTAATCTACTAGTTGTCTATAAGTTCTCTAGGGTCACAGCTATTTGAAGTTGTTAGGTCTCTACTTCGAAATGTCACTAAGTTGCAGTCGGTAGTGTTTCGATAGTTCTCCTAAGTCGTTCTAGTTATAGGATATTATTTGAGTACAGCCGTCCCTAGTAG